ACACGATTGCGACTACCCGCGAACAAAGAGACGAAAACAGCGTGAAACTGAAGGAGAAAGAGGAAGGAGGCGAGTAATTAAGACGTCCACTAACTTCTCGGTAGGTTTGTATCGAACGCGTTATTAGTTTCTTTGTGTCTGGCGATCGGCGTCGGGCGGATCTCGTGCGAATAAAAAGAAGAACGGGTGGCCTCCCTTTATTTCACCACTCTTCTTCTTCTTCTTCCTCTGACCCTTATTGATTCCTCGAGTTTGTTCTTTGTAGCCGCGTGATTATTAAGTTGAGTTACCTTTACCACGCTTTTGCACGCTCGATGGAAGATTACGCCCCGTTTAATCACGATGTTGGGCGTTGAAGATTAAAGAAAAAAGGTGAAAGGACCGATGGTCGTCTTAAAAAGTAAAGGCTGCACCCTACGAATCGATTGATAAATTTGCAATAACCCTTCTGTCTTTATTCTTTGTTCGACAAAGTTCCCTATTCTTTTTTATCTTCCCGTTAATTGATTAGTTCGGTTCTCTTGATTGTTTCTTTGTAATCGAACGGTCACTGCCTTCGTTTACTCTTCCCATTCACTTTAATTACCTGAGAGTTAATTTTTATAGGAGGATATTGTTCGATTATGGCGTTCTGAATTATTAATGAGGTGGTTTGAAGATATTAATTAAAATTTTCCTTTCGAAAGTTTCCAAACAAAATTCTTCGTTTTCTCGAGAATTGCATTCTGATGCAACTTGCATCGAAGGGATGAAAAATTCAAGCCTTCTTTAATTGCATCGCAAACGGTCGAATAAAGGGTAGATTTTTATTTCATTGTCATTAACGAGCGATGAGAGATACGCTTGTAATTGAAGCCCACCGATCTCGCAGATGCCGTAGGCCCTGTACCGGTGATAATTATATTTATTACATTTAGCAAGCAACGCGATTAATCCTTCATTCTCGACGTGGACGAGTAATCGTGAGAAAGTGATGATACCGATGGACGTTCGAGCTTTTTCAACCACTTCCGTTTGTATCATCGTGTTCTCGGATCATTTTCAATGTAAGAGTGGAAGGAAAATTATGAACAAGCTTCCAGGTTCGAGTAATTAAAACGTCCAGCCGAGACTCGGTAGCCCGGTAATTAGAATAATTGTCTGTGCATAAATCAATCAAACAACCGCGAAGATCGAAAGCGTTTCCACGATGATTATATTCGTCTTTCTCGAGGCACGCCTCTCACTTGGACGTGGCTTGACCCCACTGACTTATGCCTGCCCCCATCTTCCATGGGGGCTACAGAAGTTCTTACCCGCCTCCGTAGGCAATATGTTTCACTTCAATTTCCGGTCCCTGGCTCTTGACGAGCAATTTTCACCAACGTTAGCATTAGACGCGCTTACGAAGAAAATGGAATCATTTTCGAAAAAAATAATGAAACAATATAATTGAACTTTGGAAAATTTCTTAATAACTTCCTGGTGATGGACTTTGAGGATATGAAATTCCACAGATCGAGTCGGTAGTTTTCATAATTAAATTTAAAGAAGAATCCGTACATTCTTCACCGCAAGAGATGAAAAACCATTCCCGTTAAGAAGTTCAACGGACACGCGTAATCGGCGTCGAGGAAGAGTTGAAGTTCGAAGAAGAGAGCGAAGGGAAAAAAAGCGAGGCTCTTAGCAATCTTCGATCCGCGCCAAACTACCGGTGCAAGTGCATTACACGTTTCATATCCTTCAATCACCGACGTCGTCTTTTCCCACCCACGATAGACGGCGCGCCTAGTTATCGCCGCGAGCATGGAAGCCTAACGGGCACCCTTAACCCTTTATTTTCCAACCGTTTAATTGCACGATACACATGCATCGGCCGCGATGAACTACGGGCGATAGAAAGGAGACAAAGTTCAAGAGCGTGGCAGAAGGAACGAGAGGAGAAGTCGAGTGCATGTAAAAGGAAGTCCTCGTCCTCGGCGAACGGCCGGCGCGTGACCTTTAACCCGAATAACGAATCGACTTGGCATGGACAGCCGATCAAGCCTGTCTATCGCGACTATGTTGCAATCCTCCTTCGCGTTCGGCTCGCAGAAATAATAGCAATAATTAGCCAACTACCGAGTAGAGGTGGATGTTAATTGTACGCCGCGATCGCGAACGACTAGGCAAAAATACCAGAGAATTTGTTAATTTTTTTTACCCTCCACGACCACCCTATTCGAAGATGCAGCGGTTCTATCTGATGCACCGTGAACGTTTCCTGGATGAGGAGATATTGAACGGAGAGATGGATGTCTGAGTTGGATGAAAGGGAGATGGTTGATTAGATTGATACGCTGTGGGTGTGGGAATATTCGTATAGCAATCAGGTTCCAATAATATTTCGTAATATTATGATTATAATCGTTTAGATTATGATTTGATGGTTTATGAAATTATTAGATTAAAAAGAATATAGTGAAACGATAGAGAGCTTAAAATTGAAAAGGGGTCGAGTGCAACTTATGAGTAATAATTTATTGCGAGAGGGAAATTGAAAATTCAATTTTATTCATATTATATGTGCATTCATTTTCATGAAAATTAATTAACATTTTGCAATGGAAATTAGGAGAAATATGTTAATTTTGCAGAAATTATTTGGGGGGATGAATTCATTGTTTCAAAATTTGAAATTCTTCGCTATACAATTTTATAACGATTCTACTTTCAAGAATAATTACTGGAAACTTCAAACAGTACACCGTTTCTTTTCAAATAAAGATTACGCATAAGAGAAATTAGTCGATCTTTAAACTGTCACAAAGAACTTGAAATTTCATGTAGCGCTAAACGGGTTGAACAAAAGATTTCGAAATAAAACGGCGAGCATGAAAGAGGCAAGAACAGGAAAAGCGAGATTGTCGCAAAAGGGAGAAAAGAAAAATTTCAACCTAACCCAAAGGACTACGAACATGGTGCTCGTTAATTTCACGCTGTTGGTCTTTTTCAACCTGCTCGCGGCAATGTATGTCAGATTTTTATAAAGCGACTAGAGAGAAAAGAATCCAACCTGACCCACGTTCATGTTGAGCATAAATTAAAAACTAAACAGTTTTATTAAATTCTCACACTCGTTGAATGTGGCACAAAAGTCAATCAGAAAAGTTGCACATAGAATTAAATTGGAGGTAAATCCAAGGAATGCTAATGGGAGCAATCGTTTTCCAAAATTATAGAATTTAAAATAAAATTAATTTTAGAATAAGAGGCATGCAATCATTTCAAAATGACAAAACCTTATTGCAAATAAAATTGCAATAAGAAGGGGTTAATAGAAAGGGTTAATTTCTTCTATCAGACAATCACTTTGAAGCAACATTAATGGCTTTAAAATAAAACGTGACAGAGTGCAGGGAAAGGAGGAGGAAAGATAATCGTATAGAAAATCGAGCGAGCACTCGAGGGAGAAAGCGTTCAAAGCGTAAAGACGTAACAAGTGAGAGATACCATGTATTTTAAGCTTCGCGTGAAAGAGCTGTTGGATGGGCACGAAAGAACGGCTATTTACACCGGCGTTTGAAAAAATAAAAAGGAAACAAGACGTGAGAGTGTTTCTTACGATAATTATGCAATTCAATTACACAATCGACGAATTCGCGTAGAAGGAACTTCTGTTGCCCGTTGTTGGCCACCGATTGTTAATTGGGTGGTAGACTTTATGAATTAGCAAGGTGTAATTACGAGCTGCGATTATTCATAAATAATCGTAGGTAGGAAAAGCTTTTGGTAGGAAATTGGATCTTGATTAATTAAATATTCTACTTAGAGAGTTAATAAGATGATACATTTTTAAAATAACACGAAGTACAAAATGAAATTAAAATCGGGCCTCTCTCCCTGGTCCGCCGTCCAATGGTTAACATTAATTTACTTGAAAATAAACCGTCGTACCAAAAAATGTCACTCTACATTTTTTACTTACTTTTTCATGCAGAGTTACCCCTTTCCTGCTTATATCTCTAAATTGGAAATATTCTATAATTATCAAAGAAACTTCTAAACCCCTATAACATACAGTATCCGCGTGTTTCCTTCCGCGTTTCAAAAGAGTTTCCTACCAGAATGAATCACCGAAAGGTTCAAGCTATCCAGTTTATCATCATCAAGCGATTACTGTTATTCACTGTTCGGTCCCGGTATAGCGCGTCCTTTTTATTAGACAAGCGAGCGTAATTCTAGCGGGTAGACGATGCGGTGATCGTCGTTGTGGTCGTTTCAGCGAAAGCTTGGTCGGTTCTGAGATTTAATTTGTGACCCCTTAACCGCGACCATGAACGGTAAGCTGGATGGTCAAGTCTGCGAGAAAATGAACGCAGCTGCTGAACGCGAGAGGAAACGAGCTCGCGAATGACGGGCGTAAATTTTACTTTGTAACCTCCGTCTAGCTGCCTACCATCTGTCCGCGCTTCGAAATTAATCGTCGCGCCCTTTTCTCGAAATGGCAAACCCAAACGCGGGAAAAATAAAGATGAATAACGAAAAAAAAAAGGGGAGGCGCGACGAAACGCGGTGATTGCCGATTAAAATTTGACGAGTTTCGAAGCGAGCCACGTTTGTCGGTGTAAACCTGATGTAAATATTTTATTTCGCGTGGTTTGCGCCACCGTTTCATCGTTGCTACCCTTTTTTATTTGAATGAAACAAGTTAAATAATAAATCGCATGCAAAAAGGGTATTAATCTCACATGCACTGTTTGTATAAAAAATAACAAAACTATTGTATATTAAACGTTGATCATGTTTACGACGACTAGAGTTTTATATGCTGGAAAAATAATTATTAAAAAAACGATTGACTCCGTCCGAGGGTGAAATAAAAAATGCCCTGATGTTCGTTTGTTTGAATAATAAAAATTAAAGTAAAGGAATAAAAATGCAATACCAGTTATTTTGCTATAGTTCTCTGTCGTCGAATCATGCAACCTTCCATGTTTCGAAATGTCAATAGGAAAAACTGAGTGCAAGTTTCACAATACCTTTCAATGAAAAACGTTCCATTAACGATGGAAGGCAAGCTTTCGATCCTCGGCTTACACGCGTTCCCCTTCGAGCGAGCAACAGTTGTGCAATCGAGTCGAACACAATTAATCACAGCGGCGTTACGCGTTTCTTTTGCAGGTCGTGGTGGAGAGTTCGACCCTGGCACTGGAGTACGGCGACCTGGAGATCGATCCAGATTCCCCGGTGAACCCGGACCTGTTGTTCGATTCCCAGCTGATGCACCTGTACGTCATGACAGAGAAAACGGTGTCCAAGGTTAAAGTGCAAGAATGCTCGGTGTACAAGACCTGCCTCGACTGTCTGGGAGCGAAGGATCCTTACTGCGGTTGGTGCTCGTTGGAGAACAAATGCAATCTTCGGAGCGATTGTCAGGACGCTGCGAAGGATCCTCTCTATTGGATCTCGTACAAAAGCGGCAGGTGCACGACCATCACGACCGTCACACCGGATCAGCTCCAACGCACGACCGCCAGAACCCTGGAGCTGGTGATCGAGAATCTGCCGACGCTATCCGGACAATTCCTCTGCGCTTTCTCCACCCTGGACAAAACTCTGATCACGAACGCCTCGAGAAAATCCTTCGGAGTGAATTGCACCACGCCGAGAACCGACTTATTACCTCCGATCCCGCCGGGACAGCACCACTTCACCGCGAAATTATCCGTCAGGATGACGAACGGGCCTGACCTCGTCGACACAAATTTCACCTTCTTCGACTGCAACACCTACAGCTCCTGCACCCAGTGCGTATCCTCCAGCTTCCCTTGCGACTGGTGCGTGGACGGGCACAGGTGCACCCACGACACGGCTGAAAATTGTCGGAATGACATATTAGTCACAGGAGTTAGCGTAAGTAGACTTATCATCGAATATTCCACACCTGTCGATTGCGAAACAATGAAAGAAAATTCATTTCTAAATGTTACAGAGGATGGGCCCAAGTTACAGAAGCGGTCCAGCTTTCTGTCCAACGTTGAATGCAACCGGTTCCCCGGAGATCCTGGTCTCTTCCGGCGTGAAGACAGTGATCAAAGTCAAAGTGCACATCATCGGGGTAAGAACTGCTATCATCAATTTCACGCTAATGCCGTCGCATTAATTCCCCGACCGTTTTCACGTGTCGTTAGTGGCTCTTTCGAGTAAGGAATCATTCCCTTCAGAATGATTGACGCTAACCTCTGCGTACGTCTCTTCCAGCAATTCATCGTGCAGACACGGTTCGTGTGTCAGTTCAACATAGAGGGTCGTGTGACCAGTGTGAACGCTCGTTTACTAGCCGACACGATTTACTGCGAGGAAACTGAATTTTCCTACACATCCCGTGCGGCGAACATCACCGTGCCTTTCGCTGTGATCTGGGGCGGTTCGAAGCCCTTGGACAATCCGCACAACGTTCACCTGGTGATCTACCGTTGCCGGGATATGGCTGAGAACTGCGGAATGTGTCTGGCTCTCGCGCCTAAGTACGATTGCGGATGGTGTCAGAGCACTGACAGATGCGAGGTGAAGGACAACTGCGAACGAGACGCAAGCATGTGGTTAAACAGCAATCAGACCTGTCCGAATCCCGAGATACGCTCGTTCGAGCCGATGATGGGGCCTTGGGAAGGTAACACGAACGTGACCATCCGCGGCATCAACCTGGGCAAAACGTTCAAGGTAAGGAGAATTATCTTCGATCGCGATTTCCGCTCTCGCTTCGATTAACACCTGTCCGGTAGGGTGGGATGCTGGTTGCGTAACTGGCTCGGCAGGAATGGTACGGTAAATAAAGTGGAATAAAAGTTAGCTTTATTTTCGAGAGAACTATAGTTCAGCTCCAGTAGTCGAAAGTTCTCCATGCGCCAACCTGAAACAAACGCAAAATAATGTTAGTTCAGATTGAAAATTTTGATAATGTTGAAAATCACAAAAAAAGAATTTATTTATTCCAGGATATCTATCGTGGAGTCATGGTGGGTGGAATGCGATGTCAGCCTTACGCAGAGCTCTACATCCGAACGAAGCAGATAGTCTGCCGCGTGGATGGACCCGGTACGATGGAAGTTAAAAAGCGAGGTCCAGTGATCGTGAAGATCGAAGACTTTAGGGGTCAGTCAGAGCACAGCTTCGAATTCGTAGATCCTCGAATACTTTCCATATCCCCGAAATACGGTCCGATGAGCGGAGGTACCACGGTTAGGATCACTGGAAACTATATGAACGCTGGTAGCACAATCGAGGCGTTCATCGACGAGCTACCTTGTTCGATAATTAGCGCCGAGATGCACGAAGCTCTCTGCATGACCAGCGCCAGTAATCGTACCAGAAACGGCGTCGTAAAGATGACGTTCGACGGTGCGTTTCGAATCTACGATGGCTTTTTCGAGTACGTAGACGATCCGAAGATCGAGAGCGTGGAGAGCGGTGTCGCGGGTCAGATGAAGATTCCGAAAGGCATTCCAGCCGGTGGCATTAAAATCTCAGTGACTGGAAAGAACCTCGGTTACATCCAGAGTCCACAAATGTACGTATACTACGACGAGAAAATGTTCGTATCCCAGTGCGAGGTTCACAGCCAGGAGAGCATGATCTGTAAGTCGCCTACCATCGAGGTTCCCGAACACGTGGTGTTGGATGCTGAAAAGCCATTGTTGCTGGAGTACGGTTTCCGCATGGACAACGTGACGGGCGTGCAGAACCTGTCGCGACACGGATTCCAACACTTTTTACTCTACCCGAATCCCATTTACGAGGTGTTCGACGAGGAGATCAAGTACTACAAGAGCGACTACCTGACCATCAACGGGCAACATCTCGATCGTGCCTGCCAGGAATCGGACGTGACCGTGCAGATCGGCAACGCGTTCTGTAACGTCACGTCTCTATCGAGGCAGCAGCTTACCTGCAGACCCCCTCTGACCCAACCGCCGGCCATCGACGCGTACGGTTCGCCGAACAAACAGGAACTGCCGGAGGTGATCGTGATCGTAGGCGGTACGCTTCGTTACAATATCGGGAAACTGAGCTACGCACTGCCAGCCGGTCTAAACGGGCCCTTATCTAAACCGGCTCTGATCGGCGTAATAGCCGCCATAGTGATCCTTGTGTTCGTGTTCATCGCCTTCCTCATTGCCTACCGACGCAAGTCGACCGAGAGCAACCGGGTATTGAAAAACATGCAAGAGCAGATGGACATTCTTGAGCTTCGCGTCGCGGCTGAATGCAAAGAAGCATTCGCTGAACTGCAAACCGAGATGACTGACCTAACGGGCGACCTGACCAGCGGAGGAATACCATTCTTGGATTATCGTACCTACGCTATGATGATACTGTTCCCAAGTGACGATAACAGCCCGGTATTACAATGGGATAGACCAGAATTGGCTAGAAAGGAAAAAGGATTGCGTCTCTTCGGGCAACTGATAATGAACAAAACTTTCTTGCTTCTCTTTGTACGCACTCTGGAGAGTAATAGATACTTTTCCATGAGGGACAGGGTGAACGTGGCTAGCCTTATCATGGTCACGCTTCAGAGTAAGATGGAGTATTGTACGGATATTTTGAAGACCCTTCTTGCGGAGCTGATAGAGAAATGCACGGAAGGAAAGAGTCATCCAAAGCTGTTCCTCAGACGGTAAGAATTTTTATCGTTTTGAAAGAGTTAATATATTTAACTGATGTCGCTGATTGTGGATGATATTTCGTGTTACAGAACGGAGAGCGTGGCTGAGAAAATGTTATCAGCCTGGTTCACTTTCCTTTTGTACAAATTCATGCGAGAATGTGCCGGAGAACCTTTGTACGTGCTGTTTCGAGCTGTGAAACAACAGGTTGACAAGGGTCCCGTTGATGCCATCACGTCTGAAGCAAGATATTCGTTGTCAGAAGAGAAGTTGATCAGACAGTCAATCGACTTTAAGCCAATGGTAAGAAACTAGACTACAACACCTTTTATTTAATCCTCAGAAGAATACTTGATAAGTCATTTGACTAATTATTTCTTATCTTTCAGACGGTCTATGTATCAATATCTCAACAAACAGTATTCGTCGGAGGTATGGATCCAAACACGGAAAACGTCCCCGTGAAGGTACTAGACTGCGACACGATATCACAAGTGAAAGAGAAAGCATTGGATACGATCTACAGGGCAACGCCTTACAGCCAAAGGCCCAGGAAAGATGATCTCGATCTTGGTAAGATTCCAATTTTTCCTAAATAAATCTCATCCACTCGATAGAAATGCGAAGTAATGATATTGTAATAACAGAGTGGCGGACTGGGGCATCCGGTAGATTGATCCTCTACGACGAAGATTCGACGACAAAGACGGAAGGCGAATGGAAGAAACGGAACACATTGAATCATTACAGGGTACCAGACGGAGCCTCGCTCAATTTAGTTTCCAAACAATCATCGATCTACAATCTGTCGATCCTTTCGGAGAAGACGGACAAATCGCACAAATACGAGACCCTGAATCTTAGTAAATTTAGTTCAGCTAGCCCTCCGCTATCACGTGCCACATCGCCGTTGAATCAAAATCACGACGGCGGATTGAAGTGTTGGCATCTGGTGAAACACCATGATTCCGACGTGCGAAAAGAAGGAGATCGTGGAAACAAAATGGTCTCGGAGATTTACCTAACGAGGTTACTAGCAACTAAGGGTACACTACAAAAATTCGTCGACGATCTGTTCGAAACGATCTTTAGCACTGCCCATCGAGGATCGGCTCTTCCCCTCGCAATAAAATACATGTTCGACTTCATGGACGACCAAGCTTTGCAACACGGCATATCTGATCCTGAAGTGGTTCACACATGGAAGAGCAACTCCCTTCCCCTTAGGTTTTGGGTAAATCTCATCAAGAATCCGAATTTCATCTTTGATATACACAAGTCGAACATCGTGGACTCGTGTCTGTCCGTAGTCGCTCAAACGTTCATGGACAGTTGTTCGACTTCGGATCATAGATTAGGTAGGTATCAAATATTTCTATTTCTCATTTCGAACGATACTAATTTACTCGTCGATATTTATAGGTAAGGACTCGCCGAGTTCTAAGCTGCTTTACGCAAAGGACATTCCAGTGTACAAAGAATGGGTAGAACGTTATTACTCAGATATCAAAGGGATGCCAGCCATATCCGATCAAGACATGAACGCTATGCTTGCCGAAGAGTCTAGGGTACGTATCGTTTCCTCGACGACGATCTATAACACTAAGAAGACTAATGATCGATCATTATTTTTCTTTACAGTTGCACACGACGGAATTCAACACGAATTGTGCCCTGTACGAGTTGTACACGTACGCGGGTAAATACAACGAACAGCTGATAGTCACCCTAGAGGAGGACGAGTTCTCGCAGAAACAGAGATTGGCGTACAAACTCGAGCAGGTACACAATATAATGGCGGCGGATAACCCCTGATGTACCATGAACTCTATGAAACATATGACAAAGCCCGCCCGCCAAGAGTTACCCTGCTGAATACTCGACCGAAGTTAGGTATTCTCAAGGAAGCACCAAGAGGACTGGCCTATCTTGTAATCGATCGTCTCAGGTTTCCGTGCAAGCCAGTTAACTCAGCTTAGTATGCGAATTATCCGAAGGAAGAAGAAAATTGCACAACGGACCGATTCAAGTTCCAACGGGGGATGTTATAATTGTATACACGAGGACTTGAGTGTTTTTTCTTTGTGAACAAAGTCTTCTGAATCATTTGGTCGCTGGCTTAGGCCAGGTGTGGCGATGATCGCGGCGCATTACCCACGCATAATTGTACATAAGATACCAAAATCACGATTAACTGTAATAGAATTATTGATGTGCGTTCGCCACCGGCCGGCGGCCACAGCCACACAAATGAAAAAACTGAGAAAGATATGCAAAAGGAAAAGAATTTCTCGCGCGTCAAATCGTGTCCAGGATCTTCTACTCCATCGCGTGTCGCGATCGTTGGATAGAATTAAAAATGAAATGAAAAAAAAAAAAATCGAAGTAATAGAACATTAGTGATATAAGTGAGTGAACGAATCAGCCGATCGATCCGATAAATTTGTAAATGTGTTTTTTGAAACGGTCGATCACGACCGTCGCTATATCGGGCCATCGGCGATTTTTAACGAAGAAACATTTCCATCCACCGCTACTAGCTGAAATTTTTTGAATTACGAACTGACGAATTTTAATAAATAAGATTAATTAACGATTAACAATGATTAATTAAACAATATGGGTATATTATATATACATGGATGGTATGTCGTATGTATATGTGTACATATATACACTTTATACCGGCGCAAAAGTATGTGTGTATGTATATGCAGTATCCGGAGAACGAGCGCCCGTACAGTATCGGCGAGGACGTCAAATTAATTTCTCATGACATTTTAATCATCGCGTAAGAAAAAAAAAAAAAGAAAAAAAGAAAAAAATTAGAACGACGTCGTAACAGCAATTTCCTCGTCCAATTTCTGAACATGAGAGCCTTTGCCAGTCGAACATATCGCCGTACTGTACGAACGCTATACATTACGCGTATTATTTATACTTACATGCATCCAAAAGGAAAAAAAAATGGAAGGAGTCATCCGCGAAATCGGGGACAGACTGTGTATTAGTTGATAGGTATTAATCTATGGACTATGGCCGTGCGCGAGGCCAGCTCGATGTGACGGTTGTGTTGAGTGTGCGTGCTTCCCCTCCTTGGTCTCCAGCTCATTGTCCCATTTTACCATTAATCGTTCGTTCTCATTGTCGTGCATCCATCATCCCGATGTTCACACCTTTATCATTGTCGCTATTTCATATTCATCGAAAGAAGAAGAAGTTAAAAAAAAAAGAAAGAAGGAAACGTCAACTCCCCTTGTCCTCGTGTCATCATTATTACCTCTCTATCTCTTTATATTACATGTAGTAAAGATGTTCCATTATCGGGCGCCTCTTTCTCTACTCTTTCTGATCATCCTAAGAAATCCACATTTGTGCCACTCTCTATCTTCTCCCTTGTAATGCTTCAACGCCTCCGTCGTCATGTTGTTGTCACTCTTAATTATTGTAATATATAATGAATAACGATCACTGTTGAGTATTGTCTGATTGTAATACATTGATATTGAATTGATATGAATTGATAATCATTAATTAAAAAGCGTAACATTAAACTTTGTGGATGTAGCCATATTGGTATGGGTGGAAGTTCCACGAAAAATATTTAAAGAAAAAAAAAAAAAGTAACACTGATGCGAATGAGTGGTGGGAAGCCGTTCGCGATGGACAGTGCTCGTAAAAAATAAAAAATAAAATATTCTTTATCGTAGAAAGCGTTTTACCTGCGCGTCATTTTTAAGCGAATCGAATCGCGTGTTCGTTTTGTTCGCGTATAGAGGGATCAAAAAAAAAGGAAAAGAAAAACGACGTGGTCGATTTCGAGAACCCTTTCGCCAAGAATTTTTTACGAATTCCTTGTCTCGTATCTTCCAACTTTCTCATCGTTAAGTAGTACGACCGTTAATTATCATTTTTGCAAACGCACATTATAGGCCCAACGACGGGGTTGTTACAAGACTTGTAGAATTCGCGTAGGGGGTAATTTCGACGATCAAGACTAAATATATTGTAAAAGAATTCATATCGCCGAAGGGGCTCGAGCCAAAAAGGGGGTCGCCTTCGAGGGTTCTGTCGACGCGAGCGGCTGGTAGCGAATGAGAAACCGTTCGTGTATATGCGTGAGTGTGTCCCGTGCGTCAATTCAATGTGCAGTTGTCAGTGGAGAAAGTATTTATTGCTCAAAAAACATCGGAAGACCGTGTGTGGAAAGGTAAGGCAGCAGGGAAAGGTGCGGAGTTGGTAGGCTACGGGAAAGGAACGGGGGAGGGGGGGTGGAAGATAGAGAGGCGGTGAACGTACGTAAAAGAAGACGATGAAGAAGCTGAGGAAGAAACGAATCATAGACAGGGTACTGCGTCAAGCTGAAGAAATAAAAAAAAAAAAAAAAAAAAGGGTGGTGAAAATAAGCTCACGTCGTTCAGTCGCTCTGTATCATTTGCAAAAAGAAAGAAACTAAGGAGAAAATAAATAATTAAAAATATACAAAGGACTCGCAACGCCCTCCCCCGCGCACGCCGACTTCAAATGGTACTAATAAACCCAAAGTGCCTCTGGTAGATTTTTGGGCATAAGCTTGAGTAATAAAGACTACATAGCGTTTACTATAAAAAGCACGACTACGACGCGATCGCTGATTGTAATAAAAATGATGATAATAATAATTAAAAAATGGAAGAAAAAGTGAAAAAGAAAGAATGGAATAGGGGAGGAGATGCAAGAAAGAGGGAAACAAAAATAAAATGGTAACAGTGGGAAGGAGAGAGAGCGAGAGATTAAAAAAAAAAAAAAAAAAGAAATTTAGAAAGCAAGGAACGAGAGCGCGTGTAACGAAACGTGTACACGTGCCTGCTTATCGAAACAAAATAATAAATAAATAAACCGAAGGAAAATGAAAATGAAAAAACAAGCCGAGAGGCGGGCGGAGTGCGGGCGTACCCAGGTGTACGCGGTGCGTACGCTAATTACACGTTTAGATAGGTATACATATAGTCGGTAGCCTAGTCTCTATGTCAGTGTCTGCCCTGAGTGTCTTTCCCATGGTGTATCCCTATAAAGTGCGTGTACCTTGAACTCCTGGCAAGCAGACGTGCAATTTCCCTAACAATCGTTCAACCACCCTCTTTACCCTATCCCCTGGATTATCAAATTTCAAAGAAAATGAAAAAAAAAAAAAAAAGAAGGAGAAACCGCCTCTCCCTTCTACCAACATCCTCCTTGCGCCAACTTATCACCCCCTTCCACCACCGATATCATCGTTATTATCATCATAAAAAAAAATAAAAAAAAACACCACTCCCCCTCCCTTCTTCGTAAACGCGTTTAACTGTGCTCACACATCACGCGTCATTCGCCACACTACCGATCGGCACGTTTTGCTAAGTGAATATTATTATTGTATCGATGGTTCCTCATTAATTATGGAATGTACGGATCCCAATTTGTAAAATTCGACTAAGTAAGGAGATGTGTATCGCCGTATCGTTCGTGCGTGGCTTGCTGCCCCCCGGCAGTCTACTACCGTGTGTGATGAATCGTGTTTTTTTTTTTTTAAATATATTATCTTTTAATTTTTCTTTCAAGAGGATACCGTGCGCCTCTGTCGAATGCCTCTGTCGACGGATGACCATGCGTGTATGTGACATTATAATTGAAGGTCTTCTTCTTTTGTCCGCTTGTTTCTGCTGCGAACAAAACGGGACTAGCACTCTTGTTCGACGAGGATGGTCTCTGTTTCGGGAAGGATGGGTTTAAGTGATACCTGGTGGAACAGAAAAAGATGACAAATAGAGAAGACTGAGAATGATTGATGATATGTATGAAAGGGTTGCATGCATGTTTGTTGTGGACTGTGCAAGACTGAGAGAGGCAGCGGAGGGAGCTTGCCAATCAATCCGGGGTCGCTCCCTCGCCGCTCATTTTTACGTCGTAAATATTAATTATGATTATACATTGAGAAAAGAAAGATAACGCATCCAGCAACACGATTACGTTACGTTTATAATAGTCATGTTCCTTTTCGATCAATAATTATTATTATTAATAAAAATCTATATCAACCTTGCTACATTATTTTGTACTTGTGTTTTTTTTCTATTTTTCTTTTTCTTTTAATCTTAATATATTAGATAAATATAAATATATATATAAATATATAAATAACGCCGTTTTTAAGTTATCCGATCTTTATTATTATTATTTTTGTATAAATGTGTGATTAATAGTACGGATAGTGTAATAATTTTGTATGTTTATTGAACCAAAAATAAATATTATTGATAAAGAATCATTTTTTCGGGCGTTCACTTAACTCTCTGTTTCTTTATTCAAGGGACTGAGCACAGTGTCACCCGCATCCTCGGTTTTTTCAGGGGACTGAGGTGCACTGTGAGATTTCAGACTCCTCGGTCCGATTGTGCTTAATATAACTGGCAGAAGGAACAGCCCGTGCCAGAGACCGAATAATATCACTAAAACGAAGATCTTTAAAAACGCATGGAATACGTAACTATCTGAGAACACCATCATGGAGAGTGCAAGCAACGTTGAACCTGCACCGTATGCAACCGCTGCACCTATGTATCTAACTGCAACGTGTGCTCTTTCGGTGCGATCCTGGCCTCCAGTTACACTTGCAGCGTGCACGAATGCATGTGCAACATGAGCTGCATAGTCCACGCATAATCCAATGCCCAATTCCAAGCCTTGAAAAAAAGAAGTTAATATCGTTATTTGAAGTCAAACATAATTCAATTAACACGCTGACTGCTGAGAATATTATTAACTCCTTAATTCTTGGGTGATGGATTGGATGATTTAAGTTTAACACCTTGTGAGATCACTGATGACCTAACATATACCATGCTAGGCACTAATTTTTATTTTGGCAGTAAACGTGTTAAACAGCTCGGAAAACTTGAATCATTCAAAAGAGATTGCTCACCGATGCATGATGCGATGTCTATAGTTAGACCCCAAAAATACATGAACCCACAGACGTTGAGAAGTGTGAGAAGTACACACAAAAAGATCCAGAAGCAGGTTTGCAGTTCCGCGATCAATAACCCTGTCATTCCCATGACACAAATCAGAGCTAATAGGACATTACGTTGCACCTCTTGAGCAATTAATTTGTCCGTGACCCACAGGCTAAATACTTCGCTCCACACCGTAACAAAACCATCGATTCCCACACCACGTGCAACCTGTTTGCTATTGTCCATCGCAGGGATCCACTGGTGAGGACCGTGGAATCTTTTAAACACAAAATCCATCGTGGATACCGAAACTGGCGGAGTATTCTCTCCGCATATTAATTCTCCTTTGAAACGAAAGTTTCGTTGGTATTTTCCACCGTTCTGACTAAATAAGAATTTAGATAAATAAGATTGGAATTGTGACTCCTCGAGGATCGTCTTTCTTAAATCTAAAAATGAATCAATTTTATTCATTTATATAACAATCATCGTTTTTAGCCGAAGAATAATATTGACCTTTTCCAAAGAATTCCATGACGAATTTCGCGAAATCATTGGGCCATGACCTGATACTTTCTACGGTCGATAAATCGCTGAACGTTTCCGCCAAAGATATTATTTTCGGAAATTCAGCGGTGTAATTGAAATCTCCCATAAGGATCATTGCATCGTACCCACGATCAGGATATTCAAGACGCAACATACCGATATATTTGCTTAGATAACTATGGTCGGGTATGAACCACCCTGGATCGAACCACTGTTGTAATTGCAATAAACCCTTAACTCCAGCCGATGCAGCGATTATTGTTATCAATATTGTCATTATTTTCCCGGGTTTCGTTAATATTACATTAGAATACAGCTTGGTTATTATCTTCGAAGAAAGTTCTTCTTGCGGGCTTACAAATTTTGGTGTAAAATTCTCGTGAATAATACATGGCACTATGGAGTTTCTTTTACTTTCGACTCGTCGCGCGTCCAAAGTGAAGAAAGCAACGTAAAATGTTATTTGAAATAGAAACGTTAATAATACACCAAATGCCGCGTAAATACAAAACGATTGTAGGGACGGCAATATCTAAAAATACAAGTGATATTACACTGAAATTAATTTTTTTTTATAATTATATTTAGAATTGATCTTACTGTTGATGCACCAATAATAAATGCAACAACGTCGGTAAGGGAAGTAATACTAATTGCTGAGCCAGCATGCCCTAACATTAAAGCTACCCTCTCCTCCAAGGGTTTATTCCTATTCGTTTTGTGCGCGTGTATTTCTTTCCAAGACGCCATTATCAAGAAATTATCGTCTACGCCAAGAGCCAACAATAGAAAAGGCAACGAGGTGTGTACGGGTCCGTAAGGAACTCCGAGAGCAGAACACACACTGATCGCTACTATAAAAGCACCACCCACACAAAAAAGACCAACGATTGTGAGATAGACCTATGGAAAATTGCATCGTTTATCTTCTCGATGAAAATATACAAATTCTCAAATCAGTTTACACGATTGTTAGATGGATAAAAACTCACTCGCCATCCCACCCAATTGTAATCAGAGAATATGAGTAGAACGTACAGAAACATCAAAATAAATCCTATCGATAATGTACCAATATTTCCGAACAATGTTACGAAGGTAACATCTCCGAAACTTCTACCAGCTTCGTACCAAATGGCTATCGTATGATTTTCATTTTTCATACTATTTAATACTTCTGCATTTCTGTGCAGTACGTTCAAATAAGATAATTCCCATTTTAATATATCCTCTGTTGCCTATGTGAAAGAAGTTAATTTTTCTTTTCCTTTTTCTTTGAAAAATATACATACATAAATATAAATGAAGTCATTGATAATTAACACGTTCCTTGCTACGTATACACTCGCGATCAATCAAAGTTCCTGAGGAAAATGGCAATGTCCCTGGTTCCCCAATTTCGCTGTAGTTCTGCCTCTCCCTATATCGCCATGTTCCTTAAGGAAACCTAATCTGATCGCGAGTGTACCATTTTAATCGAACCCCCAATATCGAATAAGGGAAATTTTAATAATTGACGATGTTTTATATTAAATAATGTTTTCAATGTAATAAAAAAACACTGTGATTTTGTCTAAGATCTAAAATTTATGAAATGTTATTAAAATATTATGAGAAATACTTTCAAGTTGATCTTGACAAAATCATTTTAAACATAAAATAAGGCCTAAATCATATAAAATACTGAAACGATATATTAATTAAACACATTACATATTGTACATTAATAAATAACAGTGATGGAAAATAATTTAAATGTTATTTACATTTAATTTATGATTCAGGCCTTTATATAAACTTACCTTACCCAATCAGCTGTTCCAGCATCATTGCCAAAGGTTGCACCATCCATATCCACATTTGTAAAATTTATGTGAACTGCCCAATGTGTTTTCACAGCTCTAGCTGAAATGATTCTACCCTCTTTATCCGTCGTTACACCACCCAATAATTCGGTAAAGTTTAACGGATGGCCCAAACTGGGACTAGCTTTGGCATTGTTTAAATCATTGATGATTTCTTCTTTAGATTTACGAAGAACCGTATCACTATCATACTTCCATATATCCATAATACTATTTAAAAGACAATCTCTCGGCAAGTTGTCGACAATATTACAATACAGTTTAGAGTCAGCATGAACTGCAGGTTCGAACTTAGTACTATTAATTTGTATGTCTGGTTCAAAAAAATCATCAAGTTGCTTGCTGCGTTTCTTTCTATCTACAATACCTGATATAACAGGTACTCTATGCATCAAATAAAGAGAAATTAGTATTGTTTATTCATCAGTTTTATGGTATCCGTAAAGTAAAGCTTGCTCCATAACATGCATGGATAAATGCTTACTTGAAACATACATCTGTCCATGCAATGTGATCAGATGTTTGTGCATATAGAACTTGTTGTGTTATATTATTCAGCTGAAACGATCGAAACAAGCAAGAATGATTCTTACATACATTCAGTCATTTCCCTTGCACTAACATAACATCTGAGAGTAATAGTATATACCTTAACAAGAACTTCTGGTTCTAAGACATCGTCAGCTGTTAGTATCATACTTTCTGTTCTCAATCCCTGCCCAAACTGTTGGATCATCCACTCTGTATCGTGAACAAAATCCGAATCCTGTGGAACCCATAGCTTGACAGGATTTTTCTCTTGGTGAAAGAAATACAAACCAGAAAGGGAAACGAGGACTATCACAGCACTGCCAATAAGCCATTTCACTGGTCGTCGAGCAATTCTTAACCCGAGTCTAAAGAAAATATGAAGCCATATTAGCAATATTAACATAAACATCCCTTCGTAAACAGAATTATTGTCGTACTTACTTGTAGAAAAAGTGTTCGACTGTTTCTGAAATACGTCGCGGTACCTGTCGAAGAAAATCTCGGATAGTCCGTTTACGAACCACTCTCTCCTCAATCTCCATGCTTTTCACGCTGAAACTAAATTACAGCACCGTCGTATTTCGTTTCATCGTTGAATTTCACACGCGTCTGCGTAAATGGCAGAGCAACGACTGCCAAGTCAAGGTGTTCCTCGTCTTATAGCTGGGCCTTCGCTACCGATGAAGGACAACTATCACCTAACCTCTAAATCTGACGGCCGATTAAATACACGAACAGATAGAGGAATGTGAAAAAGAACATGCAGTCGAAAACGAATAATTCCATTCGAAGCAATTTGTGCACGGAGCTCTTGTCGAGCTCCGCAAATAATCGACTGTCACTTTCCATTCCGACTGTTATTATCGTCTGCTACGCTGCATCAGATTGCGCGCGGTAGGACATACGTGTGACCGCACGGCGCGGATGTTATCGCACGGTATAAACTTATCCACCAGAGGCCAACTAAATCAACGAATAAATTTCAAATTTTAACGAATATACACATTGATAATAAATTGAGGACGAAACGATCTGTTACTACTTTTATTCGCATACGTATATTACTCGTATTCTTATAGTCAAGATGAATGTATGCCAAGGTCTCTAAATGATCGAACACGTTTTACGCGAGTTTATTTCTTCTTCTTCTTTCCGTGTTTTTATTCGCCGAGATTGACGTATACCGGTTTCTGAATGCATTATCATTTTAAGCAATCGCGGAAAGATACAGTGTAAACATTCGTTTGGACTTTCGACTTCCTATGGAACATCTCTTCCTCCGATAGAAAAAAAAGGATACATTATTCCTTTCTTATTCTAAATAAATTACTGGGTAGAGTTGTTTTTTTTATACAAGTTGTATAATATTTAAATTGTAAAGAAAAAAGTGATTGTGTAAGATGAAGAATATTGATGACCCTTTTTGCAATCAAAGTTTAATAAGAAGAAATAGCACTCACTTGAGGATGAAGAAGACACGATCCACGCTGGTCAATCCTCGACTAACGTACTTTGCATTACGAATTTATACAAATTGAACTTGAAATTAACTTAATAACTGACTATTGACCTTAGAAGACGGCGGACACGTCGTAATCTCTAGATATCAAATACTTATCAATTAAATACAATGATGATGAAGATACGGCCACGACAACGTCTGCATTCGATACTTGGGCGAGATATGATCATTGGACCTGTTATGCAGACCGCATGCATATGAAGCCTGCGAGAAATAATGGGAATAATTAATTTCTTTCGCGGTTTCTTTCATGTGTAATTATGATTTTAAAACCACCCAGGGTGCTTCGAAGATTCTCATAACGCACAGCATGTCTTCGTGAATGAATTGCAAATGAAACTTTGCAAGATTCAGTTTTAGCAAAGTGGAAATTGAATAACTAGATAGACACGTTTACGATCGTTTCGCATAAACGACTTCCTTCTTTATCGCTTGTTTATCGACACGATTATATATACTGCTATTAATAATGTTGCAATCGGTCAAGAGCATGAAATTGATGGTTACATCAATATCTAATAAGCAGTTACGAGATCGTCAGAAGAAATGGATATTCATTTCTTGAATGAACGTTGCACAATCAGAGATCTCTTTTTATATTTTTCTTACATTATTGCTTCAATAAAAAAATATATTGTCAGTGCCTTCTGATACAATTTTTTATTGAAGTCATCGTACTATATGAACATTTATTATCAGAAAGTTTAGAACCCATCCGAATAATATACTGCTGACATGGCAGATATGCAGATCAAGATACAAACTTCCAAAGCGAATAGAATTGTTTTGCAATAACGAGGCACGTTTACGATTTCCATATGCATCAGAGTGTACGATATGCTGAGTATTGCGAAACAGTGCAGAATAGTTTTGGCTATCGGAAACATGGGTGACGTGTTCAACCATATCGGTGTAATTAAGAGATAAGGGAGTACAGTTTCAAGATCATGACGATGAGCGTTTCGAATCCGATCCACATCTTCGTGACCTCCTCCAGTTGGGCATAAAATTGTATTTGATTCTTTCATCCACACTCGGTCCTCTTCACTGTGGATCACCTGAAAAAAATTAATTAAACCCTCCTATGTTTCTATTATCGTTCCATTGCTGCTTGATACTTGGGTTTGAAGAATATTTCTTTTTGTACTTTTAGATGCAATATAGACTTCTTCTAGGTAAGAATAAGTGTGAAGAAGGGAAGGGTCCCTCTTGTGTTGGATTTTGGAAATATTCAAAGAAAACGGAAACACTCGTACTTTTATCTAATTTTAAGAAAAGTCTACGTTGCACCCAAGGGAGAGTTGTTTTCCTTAAAATCCATTTTACCTGTCTGTCTACTCGAATACGCCCAGTGAACCAGATCAAAGAGAACATTTTTAAAGCAAGGACACACGACCACCAAGAATAAATTGCCCACAGCTCGTTCCTCTCGTTTGCAAGATTGTTTTCCATTGTTTCAAGCTACCTTATCAAGTAGCTCTATATCGACGAGAGAAACACGAAGAATGATCTGGCTTTCTCGTTGTATTTCTTCGGCATTTCTTACACTGTTCCGGATATCGGAACACGAAGAAAGAGAATCATTTATTTTAGTCGTGATAAAACGTAGCAACAGCACGAAGAAGGAGAAAGAAAAAGACCTAATAAAGAGTAACTGGTATCGAGAGGTCGTATCAGAAAGTTAGGCGGGAGAATCGAACACGACTACCGAATGGAAGTTGGTAAACGAAAGAAATAGGTGGATGTGATCGCGTTAAAATTCCCTTCGTTGCTAGTAGACGACTGACTACCATGAAAACCGGTGTCCCGAACGTGATCTCGCTTCGAGACCTATTTGGAAGTCAAATCGACACCTGACACGCCGAGGGCGGGACACGTTTCGGAAACGAAACATTTGTTTCGGACGGTATCGTTTTATTTCTTGCGCGCAAATGCGCGTTGGAGTTCGCTGGTTCAGGAAAAAAGAAGAAAATGGAAAAATCTTCATTTCTACTTTTAGCGTTATTCAGTGAAACGAGGACGATTTAAATTTATTTTCAAATTCTTTTCCGTGTTAATTTTCTAAAGTTCAAACCATTTTTTTTTAAATATAGCAAACGAAAGGGTGCCTTTTACTTTATTTTTGGAATTTCTCTAATTTTTTTCAAAATAAAGTGTTAGAAGACAAGTCTTCTAGATTATGTTAATTTTTTATTTTGAGGACTTGATCTATTCCCTATTTCCTCTCTGATGTCATTGACAATAAGCGTTTTTAAAACAGTACTGCTAGTGCGATCTAGCAGTGTACGGTAAAACTACACGTAGCATACACGTTCAGTCACCGGTGCTGGCAGGATTGCAGGTTTCAGGTGCTTTTTACTCAAATTTTTAAACGTTAATTATTGAAAAATAAAGTCTTATTTTGATCCCTAGAAACACCCCTTAAAATTTTGTCTACCTGTTGTCAAACACCCTGTATATCGTAGCTCTTAGCTTGATATCGCTTTCTAAAAATTATCTTTAGAAAACGATATCAATTACCGGGTCACACCACGTGGAGGTGGCTACGATTGTGACCCACCCTAACACCTAGTCCCAACCTCCCACCATAACAAGGACCTCGCCTATCAAGCTGTTGCCAACGAGATAACCGAGTATAGACTCTAATTAGCCCGTAGGCTCGCGTAATGGAGGATAGACTTACGGTCACGCCGATCCCCCCCATCGATCTTCACATCTATCAATTACAATTTCATTCGTTTTCAAAGTTGGCAGCTTAGTATCGTAAAGCGACAATTACACTTCTCTTAACATGCTGAGATATGTAATTGTTTCCTCGGATAGACAGCCGCATCACAATTTGGGCAGCAAATTCTTTACCACAATACCGATAAAAAATTTGCATCATACCTTCATACTAGTCCATACACATAACCCGTTCATAAACATACTGCATGCACATACTTTCATTCTTAACTCGCTTACAGTATTTTAAAATCAACTTAAAAGTAACTTAAAACAAATGAATTCTTCGATGATCCCTGGATGATGTTTTAAATTAACTTAAAAATAATTACAAGAACCCTATGCCGAGATATGTAATTGTTTCCTCGGATAGACAGCCGCATCATAATTTGGGCAGCAAATTCTTTATCACAATACTGATAAAGAATTTGCACCATACCTCCATACACATAACTCGTTCATAAACATACTGCATGCACACACTCATCTCCTCGCATACTTCCATTCTTAACTCGCTTACAGTATTTTAAAATCAACTTAAAAGTAACTTAAAACAAATGAATTCTTCAATGATCCCTCGATGATGTCTTAAATTACCTTGAAAATAATTACAAGAACCCTACGGTACTTACTGTTCTAATGTTATACTCCTCATAATCAAAAATGAAAAGGAAAGGAAAATCGAAAAAGAAAGAAAACACAAAAGGCGAGCAAAGCAAAAGAAAATTCCCTTTTAATCGAAAGTATCCACCGGTACACATACTCGCCTACGTAACAACACTTCAACAATAAAATGCTGCAACAGAAAATATGATTATTAACATAATAATCTCAGTAACAATTGAAACGGTAGAATATGGAAACAGAAAACATAATTACCATTGCAACCTCGGAGCTATTTAATAAAAGAAACAAGAATACGAATGTATGATATGAGAAGATAAGATAATACTTACATATGAAATCTATAAGAAAAGAATAATTTCCTGAAATAAAATAGTGAACCCCCTAAAACTATAAAACCCCCCAAAACAGACAACATAAAATAAAAATTTCAACAATAAAAATCTGAAAGAAAAAATATAATTAACACCACAATTTCGATAACCATTGAAATGGAAAATGCCAAGAACAAAAAACATAGTTACCATTGCAACCTCAGAGCTATTTAATAAAAGAAACGAGAATAAGAAATCGAAAGGAAGAGAATAATTCCCTGAAATAAAATAGTAATCCCCCTGAAACTCTAAAACCCCCCAAAACAGACAACATAAAATAAAAATTTCAACAATAAAATGCTGAAACAGAAAATATAATTAACATCACAATTTCCATTACAATTGAAACGGAAAATGCTGAGAACAGAAACAAAATTGCAATAAAATTTCAAGTTCAATATGTTCTCGACGGTATTTTTCATACCAGTCAAGAAAAAAAAGAAAAGAACAAATTAGCGAGCATAGTGACAGAATGACTGTCCATCCGAAGATGGAGAGCCATTAGTAGTTCCCCTCTTCTGGGCAAATTTTGCCGGGGCTCTTCAGCACATGGCCACTTCTTTCTTCGGCAATAGCCTCACAAAAATCACTCGCGAAAATTTTACGCTTGCTCAGGCATTCGTAAAAACGAAACACGTAAACGAGCAACAATTCTCTGAATCGCTACTCGCGTACGTGCATTATTTTTACAAATGTCCAAGCACAAAATAATTTTAATTTCACTTCACTTCACTTCACTTCACTTTCACTTTAATATTTCATTTTTGTAATCGGGTCTAGTACCACGACTACGACTTACAAACTAAGGCTTGGCCTTGAAAAAATCAAGAGAGAATGCTAAATTAATTAGTTAATCAACTAATTAATTTGCATTTTCATTTTTCCTCTCGATTTTTTAATTTCCAACCCCAGATACAAGCTTCTCACGTATTAAAGGAGAATACGAAGAGAAACATGAAAGCTTGCTCTGGCCCTGCCTACTTATAAACTAATCTCAATCATACCAGAAGTAAACTACCTGCCTGCCTATCGCTATATTTAAAAAAGGGCAAAAATCATTCTCACAAAAATTCACTCCACGGTTCTCATACAACCACCCGGGTGCAAAAATGCCTACACCTAGGGAGAACGTCCCGGGACGCCTCCGACACCCGAGTTCAATTCTACATTCACACTCTAATAAGTTCATACCTTTTTGCTGAAATCGACTGACAAATGATAGTGAACATTATGTTAAAGTAACACATTTAATTTTTGTATTCTTTCAAATATTTAATGTAACATATCTGCATTGTAATAACTTTTCAATTTATTCTCGATAAACATTTTCTAATTGATTTGTAATATTATACTAAGTTAAGGTGGTTAATAAACGATACAAATCCCACATCCTAACCACACACACACATGTGGAATTTATATCGTGATTCACTATTGGTTCACTATTTTTGTCAGTCGCCAAAATATATTACACTTAAAACTAAACCTTGTCCACCGCCCTCCACCCACGCGAGTACATCTAAGTACCCGAATGAGCTTTGGGCATAAAAATGAACAAGGCCAATTGTAATTTTCACCTACCAGTTTTCTTCACGTGTGCTGAAATGCCTAAGCTAAAATGTATCATTAGTAAAAGCTAGTGCACTGATATTCTAACTTTATTAAAAGTAAGAATATCATTAAAATAATGTGCATAAAGTGAAAGAACGATTCGATATCAAGAGCGATTTCAATATCAAAGTAAATAATCTAAATAATCAAAGATATTCATAACTATTACTTCGATATTTAAATCAGCTCATCGCGAAATAATTTCTTGTACATACAGAAAAGATAATGTATTCTGAAATCGGAGGGTCATCCGACTTCTTTACATTTTTAAACTCGAAATATGTATATGTAAATATGTACAAGAAAACCCTAGCCTGAGCTAACAAATAAAACACAGAAAAACAATTTGTACGATTATCATTGTATAAAATGATACAGTGATATTCGTAGGTCACTATGCTCGCTCAAAAAATAAAAATTACAACCAGTCCCCGTGTCGTTTCGGACCATTCGTCCTGCGACATGATGAGGACCGGAGGAACTTTAAAGCATGCGACTCACCGATCGTTGACTTGCACCACTGCACTCGCCACGCATCTTAGATTGACCCACGATTGACCCATGACTGACCCATAGCTCGTCAAAGAAATGGTATCCCACTGGCCAAATCTCTCATCTGAAAGCATAAAAATCACGATTCTTGAACGATATATGTTTTCTCTCAATTTGTTGTAGTTAAAATGCTAATACATAGAATAATTCAAAAATATGCATGCAAAACTATATGGGAATAACTACACCATAAAACACGGTAAAACATGCAAATACATCCCAAAACACATTAGGATCAAAACCATAAAACACAATAAAATATTTGCAAAATTATAGTAAAACACATAGGGTACCACTCCATAAAACCCACTAATAAATCCGTATAAATATGCCAAAACACATAGAGAACCACACCATAAAATACAATAAAGCACGTGCAGGTACATGGAGTACCACACCACACGACACATTAATGCAATTGTATAAAAATGTCAAAACACATGGGTGACCACACCACAAAACGCACTAATATATCCGTATAAATATTCCAAAACACATAGGAAACACCATAGGCACACACAGTAACACATGTAGTAACACACTGATAAATCCAAGCACGAATATCCATAGTGTCAACACGTACCGGTATATGTTTGGCAGCTCCATCCGTATCCTCCGGTGGTTGCGATAAGACTGACTGGATTTGACCTTCTTCCAGGTCGCCCTTGTACCGGCGCGCGGCGCGCCCAATCAAGCATGACGTTCCGCATCACTGGTTCCGCAGATTTAACTATTTCTATCTGATATTTGTTAATATTTGTTTAATTATTATTTTATATTTTACAATTGTTTATTACTCAAATTATTGTTATATCTATTTAAATTGTTTATTTCTTTCATTTTCGCGTGGGTATATTGCAAAATTTTGTTTGATTATTCTATTCAAATTTATTTAATTACTATATATAATTTTACAATTGTTTGTTAATTAAATTATTGTTAATTTCCAAAGTGATTGAAGTTAAATTTTTACCCGTGTCTACCCCCTTAAGGGGGTAATGTAGCGAGGTGACATTACCGGAAAAAATGGGCTTATCTAGGAATAATTTATGTACTTTTATGATTGATTCTTAATCTACATACTTGTAGCGACTTTCTAATATAGGTTTTGTAAGAATCCAGTCACTAATTAATTAATTATGAACCGTTATAGGAGCGGCGATTCGAACCTACAAGAATGATCACTCTAAAAATTGCTAATAATTAATTAATTACTTTCAGGAGGCAGATAAAACCTATACTTGAAGAAAGCTACGGCGCTATTCTTTATTCTTTAATAATAATGATGCACTTTGACGCGTGAATTTCTTTTTCACGCGACTTTTTACCTAAGAATTTGACTAGTTCCGCCGTTCAGGTTTACTAATTTTGTCGGGTACCATTAGGTAACGCTAGCAGAACTGCTTTCAAAAAGCGCGTTGATCTAAAATTAATATAAGCAAATAATAAATAATAAATTTCAAATTCACATTATTTAATAAATAATATTCCTGAAGGAATTAATTAAAAGGAAGCGGGAACAAAAATATATTTCTTATGGGTACATGTATTGTTACCTTCGCTTAGAAGTTTTTAATTTACACAATATTATTCTTGAGCGTGCATTCAATTTTTTATATCAATTACCATTCTTGATCACCATTCAAATCCACTTCACTAAAAATTTGTAATTTGCTCCGAAAATTGCCCTCTGCAACTCTAAACATTTCTACCCTCTGGAAATTTAAACAAAATTACTGTTGTAAAATAATGAAACGAAACAGTCCATTTCTGAATTACATATTTCAATTAGAGACAAATTATGATTTCAATTAGATGACAAATTACAGAGCCAAATGATATTTAAACATTCGAGTCAAGTTAGAAGCGCCACTGGGCGATATTGCTTTTTTTGATATTCGCTTGTATCGACACGTCGATTAAATTATTTCCAAGAAAGAAATCCGTGGCGACGATGTTCGTCCCTTTCCACCATTCCTCCTGGAACTTGTACGTGAGGTTTCTGTTTACACAATCAGCCATTTGCCGCAGGCCTCCGGATAAATTAAAGATTATGTCTAACGAATACGGTGTTAATTCCGCCATCACCGCCCACAATGGGTTCTGACTGTTTCGAGTCTTCTTTGGACCCATGATAACATCGTCTAGATACTTGAAAAGACCTTCTATCGTTTGCTGATTGCCCCATGCTTGAGACATCGTTGGCCACAGCCAATCGTATTCTAAAATAAAAATCATTTGCAAGTCTAATTTGCGAAATTAATAAATTTAAAAAATAATCAGGTGAACGAGGGTAGAATCTTAGGGTTCCATCAGTTAAGGGTTGACCTTCCTTGGTATTAATATTTTTAAGAAAATTTTTTATCTTAAACTTTAATTATCACTTTCCATATTATTTAATGCTTGATAATAAATTTACCATTCACAGTGTGTTTGTCGCCATAACAAATAATCAAACGCTTCCCTCCGGTCCAGATATCATTCAAGGTTGGACCCAGACCTTCGACCCCTCTATCAGGCTTCAGGATCAAGTCTTCAAATTCTTGTAAGAGGATCATAGCCAGTCGTCGATGTCTACTTGGTCTACCTTCGAATCCCACAGGAAATCTACAACCATCCCATTCTAACCATAAGTCCACGAAGATATCTAAATATATCATGTATTGGTAATTTTAACAAATATTTTATAACAATCAAGGCATTAGAAAATCGGTATCTGTAATTGTAATAAAAGAAATTTCTATAAATTGTTAATCATTTAAATTCGTTCGAAATCAATTTGCTCCCCAAAGGTCACATCATTTTCCCAACATTATCGATCCTCAAATCGACTATATTATTCCATATAATCAATTTACCTATGAAAGTCCATGATGACCACTTCTCCCCTAGCGACATTCAAAAAGTTTCTCACGTCTTTGATGATCGCTGACAGAGGGGTAATCCGAATGACATCGTGATTGATCCAGAATCTGCTTATATTTTCCCCAATTGCGGTATCATTTGGAATCGAAGGGTAATAGCCTACCCTAATATCCAAATACCTAATTCCGTGAACTAATTGTGTCCAAACGTCTCGATCCTGGGTCAACAGGTATTTCTGAAAGGCATCCCTTCTGGTTAGATCACCGTGTTTGTAACATCCTGAATTATGCGTTCCCGGAATCATTAAACTTCCTATTGGAAGTCGTCCTAGCTGTCTCCTAAATTGAACCAAATGTATAAATTAATAATACTTAACTAAACGTTAAAAAATTTCACAATTTTTCACATCAATCCTTAATTAAAAGCTGTAAAAATTGAAAATCATTAAACTTTTAAAATTAAAAATTAATTTATTACCTCAAATCGTACATCCATGTCGGCCAAATTTGTAAACAAGAACTGGTGAGAAAGACACCGTCTTTATAAAGAGCAGCATGGTGTTTCAAGCAATGAGGACCAGGAAGAGTGGCACCATCTTTGTTGTCCCATCCACCCGGAAGGGTTGGTCGGCCAACCGTGATGTTTGTTCGATAATACCCACGCGGATGTTGCAAGGAAGTCAGAATCAGTTTGGGTTTGATCGTTTTGTCTGAAAAGAAAATAACGATGGTTGCGTCGACCAACGGTGGTTCTGTCAGGAAGAAAATGTATTTCCTTCAATTCTTCATAAACAAACTAAAATACTGTACATCTGATTAATTGAAATATTAAAGAATATATTTTGATACATAAGGGTGATGTAGTTTAATTGGTATGAATCACGAGTTACAACGTTCAAGAGAAGCAAACAAAACTTATTACTATGTGCTGGGTCAGCAGTGAACACCTTGATGGTATCTGGGTATCCTGTACTCGACGGACAATCGAGATCCCAATTTACTTCGAGCTCAGCGTCGATCACCTTGTCGCTTGCAGCGATCGGTCTCCACAATGAGGAGACTGTCAGCCATACTTTCCCGCATTGAGCTGCCAATGCTGCAATCAAACATTTACCAATTGACGCTAATCAATGCTGGAATTATAAATTTAAAATTCGACGAGTATAAGATTGAAACATTTCAATGGAACTTAAACTTTTCAACCTTGGTGGAAGGAAAGGTGGCAAATGGATATCGACAGAAGTTTCAATATTCAATAGTTACTATGAAAAAGAATGGGTATTTATATATTTTCTATTATTTCTATTACTCACCGATGTCGCAGAATAAATAGAGGAACAGCAACACCGTCACCTTCAGCATCATCGAAAATAGCTACCTTGCCGAACTCCTCTGAACAAGGCGCGTTCCAAGTCGTCTACCTATATTTTCGAAAATGAACACAAAGACAGTAATGTATCGATAGATCCAGATAGCATATTTCCCATTATAACCAGTGGGTATCATCGATATCACCATGAAAATCCTCGAACACTTACAACTCGCGCGCGCACTTGGCGATCCACTTCCGATCCAGCCAGTTCGATCGCCAGGAGTACGTCGAGTCCTGGTTCTGCTTCTTCGACGGCCGATCGAGCATTCAGTCCCGGTTAACTTGTTGGTCCACGGAGGCTCGTTCGGTTCGAGGTCTCAAGGCGATGATCGCGATCCGCTTGGTCGGCGCATCGTCCGTGGATCGCACGACGAGCAAGCAGTTGTTTCGCGATGACGGCACGAAGAGAGTAATGATGATCGATCGCGTTATCCTGGAGCAATCGATCCGATCCGGCCGTCCGTGGACAGTCCAGTGAGTGAACGATAGAGAACCGAACGAGCCGTAACCGGACCAGTTTAATATAGAACCCGCTCGCTTATGGGACATTCAAGCACATTGTGCCATCCTTCCATCACTTCCTCGGACACGTCAATTGCTCGGTGGGGACCATACCGGTGTCCTTATCTAACGTACGATCAAACGCACCGGGTTTTTCTCTGTTCAACGTTACGGTCATCCTATCGACTCCCGTCCACCATCGGGGGTCAGACCCGACCTGACCCGTCGCCGTTAAACACCATTTCCTGCGTATGCCGTGGAACATATAGTTTCGAGACAACGACTACGAACGGACGGACGACGAAGAGAGGAGCGGAGGACGTACAGGGGAGCGGGGTTTTCGGGGGACGGATTCTGATTCTACATTGAATTATCACCCTCGGCTCGGTGGGTCAACGAAGGGGGAACGGGGAGCAGTCGTGTGAGCCAACAGGATGATGATTAGGTACAGGTGCAGCCAACGAGGCGACTCGATTTATCGTTACCTACGCGATTACACGCTGTTTGCCGAACGACTCGTGTGATATTCCGAGGAGGAATCACGGATAACGGATGATGAATCAGAGACGATGGACGATGGACAGTCGGGAGGATCATATTCTGCTGGAGAATCCTGACATCATACCTCTGCGGTCGGAAATTGTACAATGGGATTCTGTGATACTGGTATGACCTGCAGGAAGTGATGAATTGTAATTTGATGCTTTTGAGATAATTTTGATTTTTATGGAATTTTATCTAAAATATAGAAAATATACCTTTTTCTTAAATTCTGATTCTTCTTTTCAAAGGAAATTATAAAAAAAAATAAAATTGGTCCTAAAGTTCTGCTGCACCTGAAAGTTGAGAAAATGAATGCTAATTTCTAAACAATTTTGTTTAGTACAACAGATATACAATTTATTTACAATGATTCACGCGAATATAAAATAACAATATTTTACACAGACGCAAGAGACGGATGGTTGATCCGGCATGAAAAATAAATTAAACGCTGTCAGATTGGTCTCTTGGCCGTCGCGTGAATTCTTTCTCTCCGCGTTAAATAAATAATTATTAGTCGGACAATTATATTACATAGAACGCTAGACGCAACGACGCGCTGTTTAAACGATCGTTCTAGCCTATATTAATTACTCTTGCGGCGTTAAACTCTTTAATCGACGTTTATAGTACACAGAAGGACGTTAATACGATTTGATTCGTTGAGGTAGATAATTTAATCAGTCTATGAAGCTGCTTTGTCGGTCGGTTTGCTCGTTATTGACATCAATTCGCGAAACTCGGTTCCGTCGCGTTCCATTGAATCGAGCACGAACGTTTTGACTCGATTTGCCTTGTTCAATTATTGTCGCGCGCGGAATGTGTCAACGATCAAGTTAATACTGACAATTTTTGTTACATTTAAATCATCCATAATCGATGATTTCAGTTTATCAAAAATCGCACTGCTTTCCATTCAAATTTTAAAATAAATAATTCATCGGGGAAAATTTGCTAAATGGAAAAAATAACATACTTTTAATTCGTGGACTCTGTTGTAAATTATACCTTGTTCTGCAACAAAGTAGAAGCTTCCTCTGGCAAGCAATGCCTCTGAAAAATTGACGATTGTAAAAATCATATTGCTACGTAGAATAATGCTTTGCTAAAGCCTGCGACAAGTGTATCGAAAACAACAGTAGAACTTAACAATTGCCGACACCCGAAATCGTTGTCTAATAAAGTGTTCTGCGAATACAGGTACAAACGTTGAAGAGGGAAGAAGGTTTTGGTAAATCGGAAATCGAGCCTCATGGCTGATCGTGTCATTCGGCGTTGAATGTATCACTCTAAAAAAATTAAGTGAATTAATTCGCAACAACATAATTATATGTCCGTTTGCTTCGCTTACGAACTATCAAATAAATTAAAGATACTCTGTTGTTCAAAAGGACAAAATTCCCATTAATTATGCTGATCACGAAGACGGTTCACTGGGAGACAAGAAAATGATCTCTGGTTAATGTTCCCAAGAGAAGACAGTCTCTTTGATTTCTGAAGAAACTGAAGTCTTCTTAAATAATCATCATCGAACATGGGGAGGGAGGATGAAACACGCTTCGCGTCAAAGTTCTACTCTTTCCCCGTCTGTTCGATCAACAGCAAGAACGACGAACGTTTCGTCGATGAGGAATGCTTGTTGTCGAATGTTACGAGTTAATTGGCACGCTGAGTAAGCAAATTCAGCAGCTCGTCGTGATCCATGCTGTTCAATGTTTGTATATCGATGCCAAGTGCGTTCGCCACGCTCTTCATGTCGAGGCCGAAGCTCTTCAACAGCTCGATGAAGTCCATCTCCTCGCCGGTGAACGGATTGTGCAGCTTCGGGCAGCTGTGATTACACTGCGGCCAAGTGCAACGTTCGATTAACCGGAAGTGGCAGCCCTGGACGCACTTCCGTTTGCCAGATGGTATCACCGAGCGTTGAGGTCTGGTCCCGTTGAACATGCCCGTGTGGTTGCTGTCGTTGTTCTGCTTGTTACCCTTACGACGACCTGAAATACAGTTATTGAGAGAAATTAAGAACCAAGGAGGTCATTAATTTCATCGTTTATAACTGATTTACCAATTATCATTTTGAAATTTTCGTATGAGTAATCAATCAAAGTTATTTATTATTTTTATTTAAAACAAAAAGTATCCACCCCTGCTTTAAACCTGTATGATTGGTACTTTTTTAATAAATAATCTTACAATAAAACGAGTAAAAGTAAATGTTTTTTCCACACGATTGATAGAGAAGAAACCGTCCTCAAACTATCGATACCTTCAGTCCAACCCATCATTAAATTCCATCAAGAAAACCATCATAAATCCTTTTATAGAAAAAGTATTATAGGTAATAATTTACTTTCTCCTTTTCTATCATTAAATTAATTACAGTCATGTTTCGCTTCCTTATCGATACCAGCTTTCCCAATAAGGAAAAATCATTTCCTTCTAATCACAATCGACAAATAACTTCAGAATAATTACACGAGGCAATTAGTCTGTTCATGTCACAATTCCACTTATCTTTAACACAATCAAAATTCTAGTAATTTGTACCTGTAGATTTCCTCCGTTCGTGTTTCTCCTTCTTCATCCTCGCCTCTTTGTTCCTCTCCCTGCGTCTACCTTTATGTTTCCTCCTTTTCCTTTTCCTGTTTTCACCATCCTGAACTGAAAATATCGACGATTTTCCACCGTTCGAATTGGTAATCACCTTTGGCGCAACCTTCTGCGGCTCCATCGCGTACTCGCTTTTTCCGCTTCTTCCTGGCTCGAACGAAGTTCCGTTTCCCTTCGTCAGCCCGGAACGCAGCAGCTTCCGGAGCGACTTCGTGCACGGTTGGTTCGTCTCAATTGGCGAACGAGTGCTGAAATTAACGAGGCCGAATCTGTCAGGCTCGCAGTTTCGCGTTAAAGCTCGTGTAGGGGCACGCGATAATGAAATCCGTCGTGTTCGTTCATCTTTTTAACCCTTTCGCTATTACGGACGATTAAAATCGTTCGACACGAAAGATTATGAAATGAAAAATGAAATGAAATTCGTTTCCAAGTAGCAAGCATGAAAGGGAATAATTATAAATGGTACAATTTATTTATTTTAATGGAATGGATTTATTTACATGATGGAATGGATGTTAGAAAATATCATAAGATTTGTGGATGATAGACTCACTCGTTACGACGGTTCCCGAGGGGCATTTGCTCCCAACAATGCAACGCCTGTGCCAGGGAAACCTCGTCTATTTTGACCAGCTGCCAATCTCTCTTCGTCAGAACGCTGTGACTAATGCAACTCGGGGCAAAGACCGCGGAAACGTTTTCGAAGGTTTGCCGCAGGCTGTCACCCATCTTGTGTATGTAATCCCATTGCTGCTTCGTCACCGGTGCACCCACGTTGTCGGCTGACATCTGAGCCTCGTCGAACAGCCATTGAAAAACGAACAGGGGCGCTGTGATTTTTCCGGCAAGCAGACATTTCCGTTAGCTTGGATACATTACATCCTCATCTTCAGACATTATTCACTATTCATTAGCTCTTGAAATTTTGATCTTATAAAATACTAATTCGATAAAATAATATGTAGAATGAAAATTCCTTTACCAGTCAAAGTTGGATACAATCTGTATCCAAAATAGCACCTCCATGGTTCGTTCTGGTGCTTGATAACGCAATTATGAGGCATCCGAGCCTTCCAGAATTCCATCCCCTTGCGAACAGCATTGACAGGCGATAATCCGTTCGGGGAGTAGGGTGCTCTGTCCAGAAACCACCCCGAATCGCAGACGCCCCTTATCGCAATGTGCCTCAAACCTTAGATCATAAAATTTAATTTAATTAGAATATAAAGTGGAACACTTGTTGCCATTAAAAAATTGTAGAAAGATAAAACTGAAAGATTTAAGAAACGTATTTCTAAGGGGTGAGTACATGGACGAATGAATCACCTAATTCACGGTGTACCAAATTGTGCACGTGATCCAAATTTAACATGACACCGGTTCCACCCGCGCTGCTGCCAGCCAAAAGGAGGGAGCTCGCATTTTCCAGTCCAAGAGGGATGAGATCCCGCACCACCTGCATCACGATATCCGAACCCATGAAGGAAAACATGTCACCCGGCGAGGCTCTGGTACCGCTCCAACTGTCGCTCGTACAATAAGGAACGAATCTGAAGAATCAAGAAAAGATTCGTTAGGAAAATTTGATCCTCCATCCTCTTAAATTCTGAGCAAATTCCAAATTCCCATAAATTTAAGGAATATATGATTTCCAAGAATAAACGTAAAATTAAATTCATTGGAGTTAGAAGGATCAAGAATGTTTTCCAAAATGGACAATACCTACACGTGATTCGCGTTCCACCAGAATGGATTCTCTTCCGGATTTGCCGACAAAAGGCCGCCAACTGTAACGATTGATAATTCCAACATTATTCATATGAAATACTAGAAGTTTCATGAAGGAAAAATGATATTTGTGAAAGTGGAAAATCAATTTCTTCAAGGTACTCGATGACTTCCGTAGAATTCACACTGATGATTTCGCGTTCCTGGAAGTGTGTCGAAACCCCTGAACTGGAACAATGTGACGTGCCGTCACGTGTCGGGAGACACGTTCACGAAGAGGGAAAAGATTGCGGAACAGAGTTCCGTGGAAACGTTGAGAAAATGGTCAGACTAAACGGGAGAGACTTCCTTTCGAACGGAAGGTACCCACCGTCGCGTGTCTCAGGCCACTGAGTCGATGTCATCAAATGCCTCAACCTGAGCCACCTGTTCCTGCAGCTCTTGTGGTCGTAGCAGTACCAGCCACCTTCCAGGAAAATGATCCATCTCTTCGAGCCGTGGGACTTCCGCAGGTAAAATCCTGCTTGCGATCCGTCGTTGCAAGTGATCGACCTGTTGCTCAGGTATACCCTCTTCAGACCCCTCTGTTCCTCGAGACCGTACTTCTCCAGGATCTTGATCAGCTTCTGGATCGTATTGCTCTGGATCGAGGCCGAACCGGAGGACACCGAGACGGTGTTTGTAGGTTTCTCTTCGGCTGCTATCGTCAATACCAGAGCCGTCAGGCACATTGAGATCTGAGAAGAAATAGAAATAATGATCGGAAAGATGTGGCTTTGCTACCTGTGGTTTCGAATTTTTTAAACAGCCTTATCGGCTTTCAAGTTGGTCCAGAGTTTTGTTAGTCGTGCTGGAAGTTTTGATAAGAGTCTCATTAAGCATCATTTGGTAAATAGCTTCGAACGGTAATTAATTAATTGAGTGGCCATTGAAGAAGTCCAATTTCAAGTCGAGGAATCGAATTAACGAATGCGAAGAATCCTGTTCGAGACGCTGTGGGACCGAGTTATGAACTGGAAACACCGGCTAAGTACGTTAATCACCGTGTAGCCTATGATAATGAGGCGGTGAGATAGTGCGACCGAGCGAAGCAGAAATTGCAAGCGAAGGAGGTAAGCTCTTCATCGTGAGCTTGAAAATGACCGAACCATTATTCAAGCTGTTAGGTAAATATATTTCACGACGAAATTAACGAGCTGCCAGCCACTTTTAATTTGTCTCCTTGATTAAGAATCTGTCACATTGACGAGAAGAAGTTTGTATTATTATTTATGAAACGAATGCCATTCTATTATCGATCTTGGCAATAAATGAATGTTTCTGTTCTAATTGAAGAGCGATGTGCATTATATATTTCATCAGGTAAATTAAAATCTGAGCATTAAGGGGTTAAAGGAAGGAAACGTGGCTCCATAACGGCGCCACTCTCTCCTTCATCCTCTTTCATCTTTTCATCTTTCGTCGTGCATTTCGCTTCCCTCCACTCTTATCTGCCAACTTCTCCTTCCCGCTTGTTCTCTCCCGTTCGCCACCTCTATCACGATGTCGGCTACTTAGGATCAAGTTCCAGCTTCCAGGACGGTAGCCGGCGGCGGAAACACCTCGGAAACAGAAGCTCGTTCTGCCGGCCAGCGAGATGAAAGGGAGCCGCCCAGCTGTGGACGCTGGAAAGGAGAAACGTTGTTGCGACGCAATTATGATCGGGCATAATGGGCCACGAACACACCGGATTGCCTTTGGAGCTCGTATCGAGCCACGCCGCCGGGGAGAAAGAGCCTCTTTTTAACAGCCATATCCGTGAAGACTACGATTCCGATGGTATATCCTGTTCATTTGTGACGGAGAATGAAATCGAATAGTAACGGGTATGCTCTGATTCTTTTTTTTTTATCATAGAGATTACAGATGGACTCTGACACTGAATAATAAAATTTGTCTCTTTGCTGTTTTGTTAATTTAGAATAAATATTAAAAAATAATTTTTATCAGGAGATAAGAAGATTAATATTTTGAGTGCCAGGTGGGGCAGCTGAACTTATTTAATCAAAAAGCAGGCAACTCCATTTTAATTAATTTTTTCAGGAACTAAGGAAAACTGTTAAAAAAATTTTTCTTAAATTTATAATAATTTTATAACAATTTCTTACACCTAACCCTTCAATTTTAAAGCAAATTTGTTAAAAAAATTCAAGTGTAGAAAAGGTAATCAAAGTGTTACTATGTGCAGTTAGGAAAAATTGCTCGAAAACCACCCTTATCGTTCGCAGGCTCAGCTAATTATCTGTCAGCAGTATTTCCAGTGCAAGAAAGAGCAGCATCCCTAATCTGATGTCCCTAATCACTGCAAAATGTTGGCAGAAGACTAGCCAGTCGTAAATATCATTAACACGGAACTGCAAGTTAAAAGGAAGGTTCAGGAGGAAGTTTCATGGTTCGACGGCGCTCGATCGCGGAAAAACTCGGTCTGTCACCGGTGAAAATCTGTCCCAGCGGGTTCCCGGAACACGATTTCATTTGGACTCGTTGCCGATTTTACGACCATCCTCGCCTCGAAGCGCCGTCACTGAGAAAACCGCGACGAATCCGAACTTTCGGGCAGATCGTAAATAAAATTCACGACCCCTCCGTCTCTCCCTCTTCTCCTACGCTTTTGCGTAACCGCTTTATTATGCCATAAATCAAAGTGTCCCTGTGCACGAACGTTCGAGGGCCGAGATTTCACGTCGATCCGCGTGTTCATGAAAAACCTGGTAGAAAAAAAAGAGAGAAGGGAAATAGAAAATCGTATTCGTTGAAGCACCCTTCTGACACTTCAACGACAACGACGCGCTAAATCCCTCGCTCGTGTCGCTTTAATTCGACGTCCATTAACTTGACACGGTTTGACGCAAATTTTCGTCCAGACTTTTACTCGTAAATTAAGGAATTTCACACCCTTGGTGGGGTTTTTTAAAAATTTTTCCATATTTGATTGGAAATCATTAGATTCTTGTATGTAACGGGGTGGATTTGGAAATATAGAAAATCATGACATAAAAGTATCACAAAATAACACTTATTGTTTATCAATTTGAAGCTTAAGGTTTCACAAAAATAACTACATAAATGGATCATTAGGATTCTTAATAGAAATTCATTTTATATCAAGACCACTAATGAAAGGTACACATATGTAGTCATTTTGATTAAACTTCAATCTTTAAATTGATGTGCCATAAGTGTTATTTCGAGATACTTTTATGTCATGAAATCTTGTCAGTCTTCCTATCTTCCAAAATTCATCAATTTGGTAGCAACAACCCAATACTTGAAAGTTATGATTTTGTCTTACCTTTTTCATTATGTTCACCAATTTCTAATTAAAAAAGAAAAAATAATATGCAAAGGGAACTAAATAACACTGCACTATGTGTGTCTATTTCAACGAACTAGTCAGCTCTGTGCTGTTTACAGGTTACTATCGATTTGAAAAGACTTACAATAGCGACAAACCCATACATTTGTATCGGGGGATTATAATGTTATAAGGAAGATAACAAAACGCTATTAGGAGTAAAACCTCGAAAGACCTAGTAAGAAAAAGAAATGAAATAAAACAAACAGAACGGAGATTAATGAGTCATCGAGCGTTCAATTTGCACAAAGAATCTTACACTTCCCTAATCCACTTTCATCCCCTTGAAATTTCTAATTCCATACCCTGTGCCCTCTAAATCCATGTATAATTCGAATATGCCTTTCAAAGAGCCCTGATGCCTACGAAAGCCTCTCTGTTCGCTCTCTCTTCCTCTTATCCCTCTGTTTCGCATTAGAGGGTGTCCTGGGCGTGAAGGTGTCCGTCATAATTTGCCACCCGGCGCATAATCCCCGTGACAAAGGCCGACAAAGTGACGGCTGTTACTAGCCGCCACCCTCTTGCGGGGATTCCGGTAGCAGGTAAAGCGTTCAAAGATTTCGGGGTTCCGAATCGGATAGATGAATCACCACGCAAATAAATGACCATTTCGAGGATGGACTCTGTTCTCTTTGAAGGTGAGGCACTCGGCTGCCTTTTACCTTTCTGGGTCTCTTTTGACCGGTACAATTACTGTCATTTATTTGGATGCGTCAAACATGAACTGTTTCCAAATTTCAAATCATTAAAAATGAGATTTTTATGCGAATAATTAATGCATAATTAGCAATTTGACCGTGATCGTGACATTTCAGAAATTCATAAAAAGAAGATCTCGCGGTTTAACATTCATTCCCCTCCCGATGAAAAGAATTTAATAATCGCCGTGTCAAAGATTCACCTCGCCATTCGACAGCTGTCGATATTCCAGAGATCCCTCCCTTTCGTTACTTCGCCCACCGATTCCGCCATCGAATTTCTCAGCGCAGAAAGTCGCCCGATCCGTTTATCGTCTTCCGTTTCGATCACGGCAATTTCGCTCCTATTCCGCCTTCTTCCCTTACCCCTTCGATCACCGCGCTCTTTCATCCCTCGTAAACCCTTCTTCTCATTTAGAAGGAATGTACGTAACGAACTCACAGATTCAATTTTTATTTACATCTTTTTAAGGACACGTCGTAAAATCCGGGAATATTAAAATTTTAACCCTCGATAATTAAAATTTATTTTTATAATCTTAGATAATTGATCTTTTTCTTTTATAGAAACAAAATTGCGTATACCTTTTCAGGAAGGTTTCGATCAAAATTACGGTCCAATTCTCTCCAATGTTACCAATCAACCCCTGCAATTCGAAAGCAATCATCCCGGTGAGAAAACGTTTGAAAAGCTCAATGTCCTCTCGTTATCGGCTCTCTCTTTGTTCCACGTTCACCGCGGGGTCCAGGGTGGGTTGTGCTCGGTCTCGTTCGGCCGGAGGCTCGCTTTTTTTCCAGAAGGTCGATTCGTTTCGCGGGTGCTCCGGTGGCCGGTGGTGCGTGGCATTCCATCGAATGCACGCTTACGAGCCACCGGTAAGCGGGTTGGGCTCTCCTCTTCCCATTCTCTCGGTACTCCAGAGAGCACGCCGCGCCGGTGGACGCGAAAACAAGTTAAAAATAGCCAGGGAACGGATCGCGGTCGGCACCTTTGAGGCCGCGGCTCGAAACCCGCAACAGTCGTTGATCGTTCGCATCGTGTTTCGTCGTCCGGATGTTGATGATGATGGTGAGAGACCGTCTCGTTACCATTACGAGGGCCGCTCACGCAGCCGGCTAACACGCACCGCAAACCTCGCATTACCATAACCGCGTGCACACAGAACCGTCGCCGCTTCTTCGGGGCTTCCATCAGGCCGAGAAAGAGAGAGTGAGGGAGAGCGAAAGGGCCCGGAGTGCTTTCGAGCTTACCGCGGCTTTAACGATCTTACACCGCGACTCACGGAGAGAAACGCTTTTACCGCCCGCGGACCTGTTACCTTCACCACCACGAGGCTGCTGCAATTGTCAGACGTCTCATGCTACTTCCTTCCCTCGTCGACATTGTTCGCGAACTCAGTAGGGTGCCATACCGTAGGTACTCTATTTAATCCTTAGATCACCGAAGGGGTATTTTCCTCCTCCGGGTTTGAATACTTTTCCACACCCACCCCTACTCGCTGTAGCGATGCATCGATAAATATTCCGATTCACCGGGGCGTCGATATGAATACGTTTGCTAGGTGTCTGCCAGCAGCGGCGCGTCACTAAATCTCGAACGGAACAGCTTCGCTCTAGTCCGTCCGACATCTATCCTCGTCGACAGCTCAATCGATGGAGCCGGCCACGATCGAGGCTGGCCGTATCCGCTGGCGGAGCCGAGCGGCACGGTTCGCCGCTAAAGAGGCCGACAAGCCCGAGGAGTAGAAGAAGAAGAAGAAGAAGAAGAAGCGTGCGCGGAACATCTCAAACGCGCCGTCATCCGTGCCAAAGATACGTTTTCAAGCGTCGATCGCGCGCTCCGGCTTCGACCGCTTCGCCCGATGAGTTTCGAGCCCCCGATGTCGATGGCCTCGTTAAGCCGAGGTTACGACAGCCTTCCAACCGCGGCCTCGCTTCGTAACGCCAACTTAGAATCAACGGATACGAGATCCTTTACTCGTCAAACGACGACCCGTTGCGTGACCAGCCTCTGATTCCACTTCCAAGATCTGCCGAGATACGGACAGGTGCTTCCTATCGTTGGAACGACCCTCGATCATCCCTTCTATGGTGCCTTTAACCTTTGACTTTTTGGACTGGATGGGGGTGTTTTTTAAGAAGTTGTAGAGTACGGTTTAATGACACGGTGGCTGACATGACGGTTCTATAATTGGAGGCTGATCTTGTGATTCGTTTAAGGGTGCGAGGTTTCGACGACGGACCATGGAGAGAGCCACAATTATAATTTACTTCTTTAAGTTTCGATGGACCCAGACCTCCAAATTTTACCCAAAAATTTTCCCTTATACTTAAAAATCCTCCCTGATCCCTATAGAACATTAAGTTCGACACCTGCAAGACGTACCGTTCGCCCCCGAAAAAAATCGTTCCGCGACCAGGGTAAACGCGACCTCGTACGTACCCCGGCTTACATCCGGAACAAGAGAGAGAGAGAGAAGGAAGGTAAGTAAGAAGGGGTAAATGCGAGCCTCGTAATATCCCCTGTAATTTATGGTGAAGGACTCGTAGGCTGCGAGAGAAGGAGGACGAGGTTGCAGAAGCTTGGAGAACCGACGGAGAAGGCGGAAGATAGGGGCAGATAGGCGAATAAGAGAGGGAAAGAGGTATCTAAAGAAGAGGAAAGAGGGGTAGAGAGGAAGGAAGAGAGAGCAGGTGGCAAGATAGGGTATACGCCAGTGGATTAAGGCGCGGAGCGGCGAGTCAAAGAGATTTTCTCCCCATCCCGTCGCGGCGGGGGCCCCTCAGCCTAACAAGGGCTGAAATATGACTGCCTTGCCCTACCTCTCCTCCACCAACACTGCCACGGCTTTGGCCGCCGTGCGCCTTTCGAACGAACCAAGGAAAAGCGAAGGAGATATCCGCTGGCAACTAATTTATCGGTCGGTCTTCTCGTTGCCGACCCGGGATCAACGCACTTCCACTGAGCGCGGATACGTGAACCCTTTCGACCGCGATTTACCGTGAAAACAAGCCCCCGAGCTTTCCCGTCGGAAACTGTTTCCGGGCTACCGTTCACGTTTCAAAAGAACCCCCAGACTGAAGACTGTCGAAGATATTACCGGTGGCTGAGGTTTGCTTTGCTACCAGAACGATAACATTTGGGGTGACTTAATGGCGCCATTGTTTGGATTCGAGGATCTTAAACCCTTCGTATCCGTAGATTTTTGTCATCGAAGAGGAAAATTTTGCGAAGAATTATCACGAGAATTTCTAAAATATTGCCGGAAATATTTCTGGAATGTATAGATTGTCTGGACTTCGCACCGTACAACGGTACCTTCGAGAAGATGAAGACGTTGAGGGTTCTTAAAAAGCAACAATGTTCACGGTCCAGAGCAGCCGAAAAATGTGGCAAAGAAATCGCGCGAAATTACAAGCTCCGATCGACGTATTTCTCTACCGGGGAACGACGATGATTTCTTTGCGCGCAATGACCGGCTCGCCTCGGTGAGCTTTAAAACCGCAATTTGCACGAGCCATCCTCGAAAATGCATCCAGTGTGCCCGCGAAACCGCAGTGCTCGCGATTTTCGACCCTCGAAAATTGCCGAAATTACCAAAACATTGCAACAAATTGCTACATTGTAATAAAAGAAGAAAAGGACAAGAAAGATTCTATAAAAAAACATCAGAGGTTCCTTTTGCTTAAGACAACGGTATCACCACTTTCTACGGTAAGCAGATTCAATGTATTTCACGGTTCGTTGTACCGTGTAATTACAAGGACATTTCTCTTCCATCATGGTATCGATCTAGAAATGTTACATCAAGCAAGTTACTTGGTAACTTGATCGATTAACTCTGGTCGAAGCAATTTGCTCTTCGTGTAGAAACTCAGTGAGGAACTTTGAAGATACATAGTCAAAGGCAAGCTAATGATAGATTATTAAGGTTGTCATTAATTTCTTGGAGAAATTGTTAAATTTCGCCTTTCCTCTATGTTTAAATTACTTGAATCTGTATGTTTGGAACATCAGTTAGATCTACGTTCTACAGGGATGAATTTAGTAGTCTGAATATTTGATTCATGCAAAATTCTCCGGGGATTACGTGAGCGTGAGCAGAGACGTAGATGTTTGTTCCCTTGAGCCATTGCGATGCAAGCAATCTGTAAATTTACCGTTCATAGTGTTCTATTTGCTTAGAGATTTGTTAGTAACAATTATAATTGGGTAAATTCCCCAAAGAATATTAAAAATCTCATATTTAAATTAATTAGCAATTCCAAATTAGTCATTAGTCAATATTTCATAATTGACCAAATTAATCATTATCAGGAATATTAGAAAATTCTATCTAATTTTGATTAGAATTAGGGTTAAAATCTCACGTAAAAAACATTCACGAAGCGCGCAAAGTAATCGCGAAGTTGGTGGTTGTGCACGGTGGTCGTGGACATCGGTTACGGTGGAGGAGCCGGCCACTGCTAGTGGCGGTGATGGCAATGGTAGCGGTGGTCCATCGGAGTAAATATATTGGATGGTGGTAGGATTGGTGGCGGTGTCTTCCGCTCTCTACTTGAGCCGCGTGCCCGCTCGCTCGTTCACGCCCGAGGTGCGCCTTTGATGTGCCGCCTACACTGCGTTCTTGCTAACTCTCGCGCCGCCGACTTGGATTGCGTTTTTCTTTCCCCGCAAAAATCACGCCGTCTCTCTTTCTCGTACCCGAGGCTGTCCATTCGGTTCCCTTTACCTTCTTCGCTCAACGTTCGCTCTTACAACATCGCGGCAATAAACGAGAGAGAGAGTCGGAAAAATCGCGGCGAAACCCACTGTCAGAGGAGAAGCATGAAACGCTCGAGCTGGCCTTGATTCCAGAAGCGAAACGGAGCATCGATTATCGCCGGTCGTTTGGAGGAATCGACCTGGAGCGGAAATGATGTTCTTGCGCGCTTTCGTTTTATTCTTTTTACATTTCTGCTATCTAACCCTTTGACGTTTGTATCAAACCACATGGCGGGAGAAATTTAAATTCAAAGACGAAATTATTCTTGTCTCGAATAATTTCACAAAGTAGATCGCGATTTCACTGTAATTTCACAAGTAATTAATTTCACTGTCTATCAAAGAGGGAACACCGCGATGGTTTCTCAACGCGGTGTTACGAAACCGATTTCGAACAAAGACACGTTCTGGCTGGCCGTGAAATGAAATTGAAGCCAACGTGGTAGCAGTTGCGTAGGCCAATCATTTTACCGGGGGCTTATTTTCGTGGATCTTTTTCTTTCCACGTGTTCGTCTCGCCAACCCTCACGGACCATTCTTCACGCGTGCTCGATCCGCACACGGATCCTTTGCCGTATCCGCACGCTTTCCGGAAGCCCCCACGGAACCTTCGGCGAACATCAAAGGATCTACTCGGCGTTGATCAGCGGGCCGGCGTACAAATCGATAATGCGATTCATAGATGCTCCGTGACGAGGTTTCACCGTGGCCTTTTGTAACGCGAACACCCTGGACGTACGCGTGATCCGGAGAGAGCTACGTCGATGAATCGATAGTGCCTCGAGTTTGCTAACTCTCCGACGACCGGGGAAAGTTGCTTTAATTCGTGTCTTGATCCTCTCGTCGAGGAAGAATTATTGGACGATTAAGGTTCACGGTGGAACGATGACAGAGATTTTTAGTTGGAGAGTTTGATCATCAGGATCGAGAAGTTCTGACAAGTTCTTGAGAGATTCTATGGCGAAATAATTGTAAGGAAAATTGAAGAGCTGCCGAGTATTTTCTGTGGCTGAAGTTTCGAATAAAATCATAACAATTTATAAATTGTCAAGCAAGAATCATTATTTTTTCATCGGTAATAATTCTTGACGATTAAAGATCACGATAAGTAATAAATCATTGACTATTTCGGATAATAGAATCAATCGATTAATCATAGTTTCAACGATCAACAAAGACAAACATACGCCCTTTGTTTTCCCTTCTCATCAAAACAGCAATTAGTCGAAGTTCCAAGCAGACCTTTGCTCGGCGCAGCGTTGAGGGAGACAAAAGTGATTCTTCAAAGTTGCTGCGAGTCAAAGGGCTTTCGAGAAGGCGCCTCAACAAATTTGCAAACGGTTAGCGAGGGCACGCGTATTTATTCAGCCGTTCGTCTCTCTTCGCTTCCTCGAAGAGCAACGTCACTACCTTCTCTCTTCGCTCGCTTTCTTTGATTCTTTCCCGTCTTTGTCCCTTTCTTCGCCTTCTTCATTTCTATTTTGTCATTGCAATAAAAAAAAAAAAAAAAATAGCAAAGTAGCAAATTTTAATTAAAAAATTTGTCATAGTTTCTAATTTCCACCTCTTCTCCCTCTTAGCATCCCTCCTTTACATCCCTTTCACAGAAACGTCGAGTCCCTTATCTTCCTGAATAATTCCCAACATCAACCCCTTTTCTACCCTGCCAGAAACCTTCATTTACACCCTTATCCACACCACTCGTTCACATGTCTCAACTACCTAAGGATCCTCTCTATTTACCTGCTTCCCTTTCCCCTTTCTATCGGCGTTCCCCCTTTGTCCTCTACCGGGTCCATCTCGTCTCTCCTTCTCCTACCCTGTTGGACCCTTTCTCAGTCCCTTGGTCGCCCGTTCGTTGTTCGTACATCCGTGTATATCGGGCCGAAGCAGCGTCCCGGTTCACCGTACGAGAGGGAAGCGTTTGATCTCACCGCCAGGCCAGATCGGCAAAAGGCCTTTTTCTGCGGGCCCCGGGAGAGCTTCAAGCCGACCTCAAAGACTTGACTGATGACTTGCGGCCACGACGACTCCGCGAACCGGACAAGGAAAGAGTGGACCAAGAATGTGCAGGAGAAAGAGAGACGAACGAACGGCGCAAACAAGTGGAAGAAGAAGAAAATGGTCCCCGCAACGGCTCCGGATCCCTGATGTTCTAACGGCGAACGCCGATTTCCTGGGAAGACGCGTGCCTACTCGCGTGTCCAGAGCGTTTTGGGATTCCCTCGCTGGACCCGCTCGTGCCCTGTACCTTTCGATCGTGTTACCATGGATCGCGATTCTCATTCCTCATGTTAAAACGAAATTTAGAAATAAGGAGAAAAGAAATTTTAGTTGGAAGGCATTTTGAGGGATGGTTGATGGATCTTAAGTATTATTAATTAGGAACATTAATTAAGTCCACTAGAGGATGATTCATCTAACGAGGAAACCGAGTCCACTTAATCATAGCCTTTAATCTACAACTGTTTACCACCTGTACCAATCTAACCAGCTGACAGAAATAAACTACTTTATGTAGTAAATTAGAAACAAGAAATCTAAATAAAACCTGTTATTTTAATAACTTTGGTTATTCCTAAAGCAACACCAAAATGATCAAAATCATGATACCAGGAAACGATCATTCTACAGTACCATTGGTACCACCATCCTCCCAAATCATTCTCCCTGTGCTCACCCTTGCATAACAAACCGCGAACCATCAATTACACCAGTGCTCTCCTCCAAACGAGCACACCTGCCAAGAAAAATCCTAGATTTCAATGGTCTGAAAGCATCGATAAGATCAATCCTGACAATTGATAGCACGCGTACGATGGACCCTCATTTGGTACACGTGACCGGTAGAAGAGAGCCGGATCGCGCGCGAAACCGGCGAAGAAGAGGGAGAAAAAGAAGAAGAGAAGCATCAGGAGAAAGGTGGAAAGGGAGTATCGAGGGCTAGTCAGGTCAGCGTCGCCAACGGCTGGCTGGGTTCTGGGGTATACGAGGAAGAGGAGCGTTGTTCTTGGGCCCGCCATTCGGAGGGGATGGCTCGGAGGAGAGGAACTGTCGGCTCCTTTGAAGTCGGTCGGTACCGTGTGTAATTAGGCCGCCGCTCCCCACCCCGCCCTCAGCCTCTGATCTCGCCGCGCTGTGTCGCTAATTGCTCACCGCCCCACGGCAGAAGCGTCGTCGTCGTCGTCGTCGTCGTCTCCGTCATCGTCGTCGTCGTTATCCTCGTCCGCGACTCTATATCAGAGCCAACGTGTATGTACTGTTGTGAATTGGTTCGACGACGAGTAGCCAGCCACCTCCTCTTAACGCGTAACGAACTAGACAAACGGTTCTATCTAAAGCAACAATGTGGCTGGCGTGCTAATTTCTAGCCCGAGGGTTGTGCACGAATTAGACCCGTTTCGTTCGACCGGCTTCGGTAGCCGGGTGTAATTGTCCGGGTCGAAAGCACCCTTCTTGCTTCTGAACATACATTCGTAGTTGATTTCAGAGGAAAAATAGAATTCCTAAATTTTCCAACTTCCAGGACCACGATAAATAAAAATCTAATTCACTTGATTTTTTTATTCTTAGAAATCTTCTTGTTATTTTCTAAATGATTAAGTGCGATTGACCTTTTTTTCTCGGGAACAGTTAAGATTCTTTACGAGCCTCTCTAACGCCACTCCTGCAATTTTTGACGTCTACATTCCGGCTGCAACGATCTCCCGGGTAAGAAAAATGCACAGCCGCTAATTCCAGGTCTTGCAACGAGACAATGACTCGTATTCAGGACATTCAGCTAGCTAGAAAGGCACGCGGAACGAGCGAGAGTTTGAGTTTATTATAAGAACCAGGGATGTTTCAGCCAAGAATACGTCCAACGCGAATACCAAACATGAGTCGATAGAAAAAGACAATTTTGGAGAACTTCGAAGAAGACGAGAAAAATAAATGTAAAATAGCAAGGGATACTAAATGAATTAATTAGAAACGAAAACGTCTTCTAATTGGGAGTATCAAATTCAGTACAGTTCGACAAGTAAATCGCAACTAAGATTTTCCAACTGATACGCAAACAGGAAGGTGGAAACTTCAAAAGGATCAAAGGATACAGATGCGGAGGGAAATCCTCTAAAATCCAACTGGAGAGGAATCGAGAGAAACGCGTTGGCGCGAATTCAGCGAAGAGGCTAGATAAGAGATAGAAGGACTTAACAAACGGCGAGGAAGAGGAAGAGAGGAGAAACAGAAGCCAAAGAGAAGGAGAGAGTAAATCGATGCAGCGGATATGCGTGGCGCGCAAGATCACAGATGGAATCCCGACGTAAACAGGCTTAAACCGTAATCTCTGCCTTTCTGCTATCTATCTCTTTCGCTCTAACGTTGGAATACTTGTTGCTCATCTGGCCTTTGATGTCGGTCATGCACTGCTCGAAATCAATTTGGACTCATTAACGGGCCTGGAACACGGTGCCAAAGGATATCCGAGCAAACATCGCGTGCCATTAACCTTGCCTCTTTTAGCAGCTACCGCGGAGGATGGGCTAACCCTTTCCTTATTCCTTTTATACCTCATGAAAGTTTTCGATCCCCTTATTTTCGGAGACACGCATTCGGTCAGGATTTGTTATCGTTTGAAAAAATCATTCATTTTTCAAATCCCTTCCTGAGTTTGAAAATTTATGAACTTCCTCGAACTCGATCATTCAGTGGTACCGAAATACATTCGAAACGTTTTCTGCTTAGTCTCCGTTTTTGGGTTCGTTCGATGAACAGAAAAATCTGTCTACGGTTCGCTCGTACGAGGAAACGTACCTCTCACCCGGTGAAAAAATTTCTTTCCTGCTTTGAAGTCTAATCTTCAGATCTCCGAGTCTGCATTTAAACTAGGGATCTTCATCAAAGGCGAAAAATCAGAAGTCAGAGAAGCGAAAGCTCGCAATGAGTTGAAAAAAAAATTTTCCACGAATCATATTTTATTATCTTGAGCGGAGAAATAAAGAAGTTACGGTCTACTGATTTATTATCCCTTTTAAAAAACGATCATTAAAATGATCAAATTCTTCTGTCACTTCGCACACTCTAAACTGGCGATAAATTAGAAGGCAATCCTCTCACGTTTGAGACGCGTCACATGCTTTGAACGGCCCGAAGAATTCGAATTTAATTAATCGGAGGACAGAAAGGAGTGTCTGAAGGGTTTTGGCGCCACGCAACCGTGTGCCAGAAGCCACCACCATTACCGCCCTTTGCCTGTCGGCGAAGAACGACGATAAATTTAGGGCGCGTTGTTCGCTCTTGCGGTTTGTCGCAAGCCTCGAGATTCGCGCCCGTGATTTATTACGTGTTCAAGGATCGCGTGCGGACTCATGTGGTCGCCTTCAGCTTTCGCTAAGGACTTCGACGTTCGACTTGAAGGGAAGTCAATAATCTTCGGCTCTTTTCTTATTTAAATCTACCAGAGAATAAATTTTTCTAAATTTTTCTAATATAAATTCGTCCCAATTTCAGTAGTATATGTAAATAACAACACCAACAGGCTATTTATTAAATATTCTGTTGATTGAAGTATTCATTTTGGGAATGATATCCTTCATACTTGTACATAATTGTACCCTGAATTTTTAATGCAAAAAATTGCTATAAAAAGGGGTAGATTGCAAGAAGAATCTCGAGGGGGTGGTTGCAGTGACAAAAGTCAAACGGACCGCAGACAATTCTGCTAAGAAATTTTATGGAGAACAGAGGTTCAAAGGCTTTCGTTAAATCGTACTTAAAAGTTAAAACCCTAAGGCGCGAGTAAAGCCTCTGACCAAAGGGGGTGGTGCAACAATGGGGGATGAGAGTGAAGCATAACAGAAGGTCATGAAAGCTAAATCTTGAAATGATCAAAGAGCGTTAAAAGAGGATGGGGTTGTCTTGTCACTACCCCTTTTACAGTGTCTACTTGTACATAAACCATGCTGTTTCGGAATCTGAAATATTTTTTAATTAAATTTCCTTGCTAATTTGTCAAGGCCACCTATATTATTTAATTTATAAAGAAAATTGCCATTTCAAGACCCATGTTTTATACCAAGTTAGCTAATTTCGTATTAAATGAAAAAAATAATCCACCCCCAAGTCCAAAATCAAACTCACCTGAATCTCCATTCTCATCTTCACTATCCAATCCCTGGCCCTTAACACTCTCAAAGTATCCAAGCCTTCCAAGAAATTAACGAGGAGTCACTCAAAGACCTTCCTCTTCCTCGATCACCCCTCTATCATCCTCACTTTCCCTCTTCTCTTTTCATCCCCTGATTCACAGCTTGAAATCACCACTGTTCTCCCTCATATCCTCGTAACCATAAAGTAAAATAAAAAAGAACAATCTCTGTCAGTGTTGGATATCTTTCGTTCGATATTTGGCGCGAAAGCAGTTGCAGGAAGTAAACGGAGTGCACGTGGTGCGAGGACGCATGAAAACACGAGGTTCGAGCTGGTGTGCTCGATGCACGTCCCGGTTGACGGTTCGCGGCGCACTGCCGCCACTTTCCGCTTCGCACGCTTCCTCTTCTCTTCTCCTTCTTCGTTCCTTCCGCCGAGAGAAGAACCCTTCTTCTTCTTCTTCCGAGTCACGAGGAGCCGGTGCGCGCACGTGCCGGCCACGGCCGAGGAACAGCGACCGACACCTCCTCTTCTTCGCGCTTCACCCTTTCTCCTTCTCTTGCCTCTCTTCTTGTCCGTCGTCGGCCGCTTTGTTGCTGCCGGCCTCTTCTTGCTCTTTTGCCGCTTGTTTGTTGTGGGTGTTTTCTTTGACGGCTGCCTCCGCGCCGCTCTTTTTCAGACCCGGAAGACCGTGGGCCCGGGGAAGATTAATTGACGGGGGATTTTTAGGGGCGGCGGACGAACGTTTCTTCTCCTCCCTTTTATCCTTCTTCTTCGTGGTAATCCTTTGCTTTCTTCTCTTCCCAGAGATGGTTTGCCACCCTTGATTGACAGCCCGGTTGATCCTCTGCTCTGTGAATCTTACGATCTCCAGGAATTTTAAAGAATTTTAAAATCCTTGGTTTTCTTAAAATTTGTATAATGATCAATTTCTGAAATTTATCTTGGTATCACTGAAATATCAATTTTCTCCCAGAAATTTTACTCTTCGTGTATTTCTTCGAGTATACCGAAGTTTCGAGATGTTCGATGAAATGCCTGAATTTGGGAATTTCACTCGACCTTCAGGTATGGACTGTCATTCCAGGTGGCCAGAGGTTCTTTGCACCATCGGAGCTTGCCACTGACTGACAATCGGGCCAGGTTAAACCGCGCGAAGTAACCAGACAACAGACTGTTGGAGAGAAGGGTGGAGGGAGGCAACAGTCAGAGAGGGAGCAGAGAGAGGGGCTGAGATTCCTTGCCCTGTGAAGGGTTGTTTTGATTACAAAATTCCGCCCCTTTTCTCGTGCGATAAAATGGAACATCGCCAGAAAATTATTAGAAATATAAATTAATGAAGCTTTGATTCTTTTAATCAATTTTGATGTAAATAGGTAGAGACAAGGGTAGGTTTGTTCCCCCAAAATTATAATTTTAAATTTTCTTAGATTTAACTTAATATCAATTAAAAATAATTAGAAAAATATACATTTCCACTGAACGATCAATAAACTCCACTGCTCTCAAGGGTCACGAAGGACCCTTCCGTTAAACGAGTAAAGATCTAACGATGGAAGAGAACAAGGTTGTAAGTAAATTTCCATGACACGTTCTGGTAGAAGACCGCACATTCGGTAAAGAGAGTGGACTTTTTGTCGCTGACGACCTTTGAAGCGACGATTTAAACGCGAGCTTCTTTCAAAAGTTGCCGATCCAGGCGACCGGAATGACGTTATTAACGAAGAACGTGTCGCCGGGATGTTATCGTGGCCGAGTTAACGATAAGCAAAAGATCTGGCCACCGTATCAGGAATCTTACTACAACCGTGAGTCATTGCTGAACCGGTCGGTACCAATTGAGGCCGATCGAGAGTCGAAACGATCGGTTCGCGGCTCGTCGAGGACGCGTTCAGGCCGCTCCGTCTTTGGCGGGCTTTTAAACGATAATAATCGACAAGAAAAACGATCGAACGATTAAAATCTGAGAAAGAAGCTTCGGACAAATATGGAAACGAGATGCCGAGATTTGGAATCGAACGAGGACACGGTTTCAAAGAAAAATGTCAAAGTTTCCGAGTTGGAGTGTAATCCTTTGTACATAAAAAAAAAATATATTTATAATAGTGACCTCGTTTTAGAGAACGTACAAATGGAAGGAAACAAATTAATTCATTTTCATTTCTTTTAAAATCAATTGAAATAAAATTTAATCCAAAATGAAGATAAAAATCCTCTCCTCCTCGGAAACATCAAAACCTGAAGAATCTACCGAAGCAATCCTTTCCCGTTATAACAAAAAATGGATAAAACGGAACGTCAATTTCTCGCCATAAGTTGCCGCGGTGTCATCAACCAAATCTATCGGATTAGAAGAAAGAAACGGGGATAAAACCGTGTTAGTTTCGCCGTGGAAAAGTAGGACGATGGGATGTTTTAGCCGAGGAGTCGATCGCGAAGAAGGGAAGGAAGCGAGGAGCGTTGACTTCGCAGTAGGACACGTAACACGGTGATTTGACACTAACAGGAGCTGGATACGGGAATGGTCGTCGTGACCAGGTGTAATCGAGAGAAAAGGGAGCCGCAGGAGGGGATCATCGAGAGAGGGCAGTCGGCACCTTTCATCCCTTCCTCTGCCACTTCATTCTCTCGTTTATCTCTCTTTTTTCTCGCTTATCCTCCCCCTTTGATTGTTCGGTAATGTTCTCTTTCTCGATGCTGCTCACGGTTTGCCCGAATCGTCGTTTCGAAGAAAACTGATATCGGACCCAGGTCCAGTCTCGTCCACTCAAAGAAATTCAAGGAAAGAAAGGAAACTATCGTCGTTTGAAAATGGTACATAAAAAAGAAATGAATCTTTCTTCTCATTTTTTCAAATCGATCGTCAAATTTCTTGGTACTCATCGAACAATAATATTTTACTATCGTATACCTGTCTTAACAAACAGCCAGTAGCAAGCCGTCATTCTTCCTGCTATGGTGGCCATTCCGCCACCATGAAAATTAATGATAATAACGGTTTTACAATCGCATTGTAAACGTGGCCGACAAAGCTTAAGCGTCTATGATAGCGGAAATATACAAGGCTTTGTTGGTGGTCTTCGCGCGGGAATCTTTTGACCACTTCAACATCCCGAGGATAACTGAAATAATAAAGAACGGTTTGTTAACGATTGCTCGTTGTTCGCGTGCTTGTAACCGGCTGTTGTTGTTAATTAACAAGCTACCAGGAGCTCGTTATGCTTTCCGCTTGACGATAACGTTACCGAGTATCCTGCATTTTGTCCGCTGATTATGACTTAATTTTTTAATGAAATACGCTCCCTTATTTCAGCGAGTATATTAATTCAATTTTTATTTGGATAAACAATTTCCTGGGGTCATTATTTTATCAAGTACCATTTTACCAAATTGGTAAATGAAAAATATAATACCTATATAATTTTATACATTTTCAAATAATTATGTCAACGTGCATTAAAACATGCCAAGTCTAAAAAAATTTGCAGGATTGCTGCGTTTGCTATAATTCAAAGGATTAAAGGAGTAATTAGTTAGGGTAGGAAAAAGCAGAGGGTACGGCCCTGGCGAGAACACGGCGCCGTAGAGTGGGAGTAATGAGAATGCTCGTAAGGGGCGAGAGGAGGACGGAACGAGCCGTTTACCTGGACGCGTGACGGAGGCAGGTGCACGTCCTGGTTGTCGGCACGTTTGATGTTCGCCACGCAGCTCGCCAGCAGAAACGGTGGATGCGTATGTCGCGTTCGAAGGACGAAGGATAAACCAAGACGCCTCGTGCTGGGGAAAGGGTTGATGGAACGAGGAGGGAACTGAGTAGGGGAACAACAGCCGGAAGTAGAAATTAAGAGAGAAAAAGGGAAACTGTGACGAAAGAGCGAATTTCGGGCGAAAAAAATTTAAAATAAATTCTTAAATTTACATATTGTCGCATGCCCTTCATTTGCAAAAATTAGTTTCAATAAAATTCTAATTGCATGAGGATTTGTAAATCCAATAAAGATAATTAAATTCTAACTTGGAAAACGATTAGTCCGAAGAACAAGGGGTAGCCTTAATGAGAAAAAGAGTGATAGGATCTGACCTGGCGCCGGAACACATCGATAAGGAAAAAAACCAGTAGCAGGACAGTCATCAAGGGGTTGTTCCGAGAACTAAAACACGAGAAGATAATGAAATCGGACAGGTAGAAGAAAGGCTGAGTGAGAAAGCTCGTAGAAATTGAAATGAAAATCAGCAACAAGAGGAAAGTTGTTCACGGTTGGGAAAATCGAAGAGGAACTGGCAAGGATTACGGAGTCAAGAGAGCCGGGAATCGCGGTGAACCACCATTATGTAAACATCAGGGTAGCTTTCATCTAGCCTCCCGGAGCTAACTGGCTGTGTTCTTGAATCAAAAAGCCGTCGAAGCTGGCAATTTACGAAATTAGCATAAAACATCTCGCCAAAGGGGTTAGCCTCCAATGTGATTTATCTTTCCTCAACGAATTCTGACATCGAATTTCGAGATTAAATTAGCGCCAACCCTGCAATAATTTTATTACTACCACTGTATTTTGTTGTTTATGGATTAATTTTGACATTCGATTCCAAAATACAAGAAAATCCAAGATCTACGATCATGATCTTTGATCGTTTGCCTCCCCATATGGACCCTGAATCGCGAATAAAGCATTTTTAAGACGACACGAGGGGAGAGGAGTTATGGTAAAACCGCGACCACCGGCGCCGATGGGTTCTCTAATTATTATTCGACGGTCGTTGCGCTCGCTCGCGTCCGCGCATGCGTACCAATATCTCTTTTGTCCAATGGGCGGAGCTGCACAGTGGCGTCGAACGCTTTCAAATACCGGCAATCGTTCGGAATATTACAGAGGACGCGGTTGAATAAATATCGGTAATGTCGTTTCGGTGCCTTTTCGCGAAAACGATCTCCCAGTTGGGATCCCATAAGCCTTTATTTTACTGTTATTACTATGTACTACGCGCCAATGCACCGACTTCAGGGTAGTAAATGTAATTCGTGTTGATGTTTGCGAGCTATTCGTGCAATTCTGTAATCCACTAAACGTTTCCTTTCACCATTTCTATAATCGATTCGAAATTTGAAAAATAAAAATTCATATCATTTCAATTAAATTTAGAGATTCTGAACTCTGAGGAATCTTCTCGGAAACAGAATTAAATTCAACGGAACATTATTGGATCTTTCATACGAACGATTCTATCGGGTTTTCCGGAAGCCCAAGTTCTCGTCGGTTTTCAAAGTTTCTCGAAAGGGAACGCCTACTTTTTCAATTACCGGTTACGGAAGCAACTGACTGGTGGCGAAGCAAATAACTTGTAGTTTGTAAGGGTTGCAGCGGTTTCCACGGATTCACTAAATAACACGATGATCTTCCGAGTTCAGAACTTGCTATTCCCTGATTGCAAACCATACCGATTTAATGGGATTGATATTGGCAAAACTTTAAAGGAACTTTAAGCCGAAGAATCGGACGGCATCTTCCGGAAAATCTTATAATTCGAAAAATCAAAGTGCTTGGTGAAACTTGCCAGTACATTCAATTAACGTCTGATTTAAATTAAAAATTAATTTATATAATAAGAAAATAATAAGAAGTTACCAATTTTCATGAAAATTGCTTACCAAAAGTTTTGGAAAATGTGAAAGTGAATCCAAGCCGCTTCATTAAACTCTGGCTGAATTTATAGGGGGAGCTTTGGTGGTGGCCGACAACGCATAGGAAGCCGGTCTCGTACCTACAATGGACCAGGATACAATGCGGTTAGATAGGCCACTAGATAAGTGCAAGAGGAGGACACACGTGTCCGGAACACGTGTCCTTTTCGTGGTCCCACCGTAATATCGTTGCCTCGTCTTTAGATCGCCGCGATACGTGTCTTCTGTGTTCCACGAATTGGACCAAACGGCCACGATCGAAGATCCTTTGCTCGGACGACCGGTTGTGGGGTTGTTCTAGCTACCCACAGCAATCCTCACGTTGTTTCGTTGATCTTTGCTCTAAACCTTGTTACTCGACTCGTTTGTGACGTTTGTACAAGGATGGTTCTATTTAATGGATGGTAAAACTCAGTTTTGCATTAATATTCAAGGGCTGTTTATGTTTCATTATACATAGATTCATGGGGTTGCTTGGATTAAATTATTTTGATCCCTTTGATATCTGTGATTATTCGATTAATTAATTAAATTTGACTAGGGTGAAAATTTGGACCTTGTTTAAATTATATTTCATAAAAAGTAGAACACTTCAAAAGCAATTATTGCTAAGTAAAATTTTAAGAATTATACCAAATATCCAAATCTCACTCTAAGGATTAAATATAATGTTAATTATGATTAATAAAAAATTAATCAATCGAATATTATACAAGAGAACAAAATTACCAAAATTTTGAACTGAGTCTTGAAATATATTCACGAATGAAATGAACCCCCTAAAAGGGGTCATACATAATTTACACGATGATTCGTTCCTCGTGTCCCTTGTTATTTGAATTTAATGTGGTGTCTAATGTTAAACACGTTTCCCCGCAGATTTTACTTGTTGATAGTTGATTCCTTTTTGCATAAACATCACGAAAGCGTAAGATGTCTGGTGTTGTTGCACGAGCGGCGTAGAATCGTGCGGTATTGGAATGGGTTTGCATTTCAAATTAACACGGTCCGTGGATCAAAATGAAGCATAATGACGCACTTTATACTTCGACGTGTAACGCTGCCGCGCATTTCGTGCTTCAACATAAACCGTGGTAACGCGTTTGGACATCAAAGCGAGCCGCGATACCACCGACTCTCAGTTTTTCAAAGGGTATTCGCATTTTATACCTATTCTGAATTCGACTTTTATTCACTTGCAGAAACAAAAGTGTTCGTCGTTTAAGGTGTGTTCGTTGTACCGCGACGCGTGCAAATAATGCAACCTGTTCTCTTGAAAAAGTTTCATAACCTGCTGTTCTTTTGTCTAAATTTTTACGAATTTCATAAAACTGTAAAATTTAGATATTCAAGCTAATAATTTTTGTACTTTTCTGTTGAATAAATATTCGAATGTTTAATAAAAATAAATATTCTTAGGAAAATTCATTTAAGAATCCTTACCTCTCCACAAAAAATTCAAATCTCTTTCCACCCCTTCAACTCCAAATAAAAAAAGATCCATCATATCCTTTTCTGCTCCAGATCCCTGGTGCCCCATATGGGTTAAATATTTATTTATCCAGTTCGTCAGTGGCGTGTCGTTGGCCGAAAGGATCCTTCGCAGCGGTCGAGGACGCATCAGACCCCAAACCCTTGGATGGATCCTCGTGAACAGACCAACAGCCTCCTCTCTCTGTTACCTCAACCATTGAGCGAGCATAACCGATTGGATCCGAAATCGAGCATACGAGGTGCTCATTGGCCGTGACAGGTCGCAGGGTGAACAGTGGGGGGATGTGTAGTGACGAGGCTAGAAGAAAGAGGCCGTCGGCACAGTTCAAAGGGATGGTGACATGTGACCGGCATTGTGAACCGTCGAGCCTCTCTATGCGGTGCGGTTATGCGCTTTTCTATTGCGACGAAACGGTCTCTCGCTTTGACGGCCGAATCGCCGACGTCTCCTCCTCAGGAACAACCCTGAAAACCGATTCGCATCCCTTAGCTCTGGTAACGCGCGCCATCGTGGTCGTACGGTTACAAACGTGATTACTTTCCCGATGACTCAAAGTGCACCACGACGAATCGCTTTGATACGGTGTTACTCTGTATTAGGTATCGCTTTGTGACTAAGCTTTGGGGGTAGTGCTTTCAAGGCTGGTCGACGATTTTTAACTAACAAAGATTTTTTCTTTTCTTTTTGACAAAAATTAGAAAGAAGTATGTAACATTATACCATAAATGTTTCTTCATCACTCAGCAAAAATTTAATTAAAATTCATTGCCATATACTAAGAGACTAAAGAGGCTAAAAAGCGTCGAGCTTATAAGGAGAAGCACCATTCGTCGCGTTCGCGAGTGGGAATATTCAAAAGATCGGAAGTTCCTCTGATGTCCCGGCATGGCCATGGACGTGCTATGGAAACAGGGACCAATACGGGCTTCCACGCTGCTATGTCGCGTGTTGTTTCTTTTTTTCACGGATAAAAACGACGTAATCGTATACGACGACCGATCATGTAATGTTTTCGCGAGTCCCAGCAGCCGCATCGAGAAATTCACCGGCGCTTAATTAGCCGTCGGCATCGTCGGCTGCTCGAAACCGTGCTTTGATCAGCCATTGGATTATTCCATCGGCGAATGTCTGTTTCTTTCTTTCTTTTTTTTTTTTTTTTTTTTAAATGACTGTTTTGCCACGCGAAAATAAGCGCCTCTAATTCGTCGAAGGCTTTCAATCCTTTCGTTGCTGCTCTTGGTCGGGCACGTGTTACGCGATCTCCTTTTACTCTTTCACGGTTCAAATGATGGATCGCTCGAAGGATCGTGAATTCATTGTGTCGAAAAACAGAATTAATAATTCAGAATAGTCTTCAAAGTTTCTGAAAAAAATGTCTGAAAACAAAATTAACATTTTGAATATATTACTGTCAACATTGGTCAAATATTTAAATTCTAAACAAATAATAAATTTAGAAATCCCAATTTATATCCAACACCGTGTTTTATACTACTAAGATCTATCTTTATTTGCTCATGAGGATAATTAAAAAATTATCAGCACTAACGATGAATACCGTCATATAATAAGCCGAGTCATAATTAAAATTTTATAACTCCCATTTCCTTTTTATGCTCGCCGGTACCGAGCATCTCTGATCATTAGTAGACGATGTACAGTTTTGAGGTTGACTCTGAACCAGCAGTGCTAACAGTACACAGAGTTCCTACATGGTCATTCGTCTAAGCTCTAACGGTGTTCAACGCAATTTAGCCTCGGTGATTAGGCGAGAAACGGTGCTTTTTCTGCGAGCCGGGTTAACCGCGGGAAAACATTTACCCGCGAATAAATCGTGGAACAAGGTACATTAGTAGGAAATTCGAAGAAACGTCGAGTACCCTCGAAAAGTACCAAATAAAAAGCACCTCGGAGATTAAACGCGCATTACCGCGAGTTTATTTAAATAATTTGTAATGAACCAAAGAAGATTCTTGTTTATCGTATCAAAATGGCGAGTTAAATCAAAGGAATCTTTGTTAAAGAGGAGGATACAAGCGTGGTAGCAGAGACATCGATGTAATAACGAAGCGGAAAGGTAGAATGACTCGCGAGCAACATCCAATTAATAAAGATTACAGGACCGGTTTGTTAAATTGATAAGGGCTCGTTCTAAGAAGCCATTACGATAAGGAAACGTCCAGGTCGCCGTGATCGGTATTTGTCGGTTCGTCAGATCCAGCCGACAAATTCGTCCGAAGACATTTGCATTCGCGTGCACTAAATCGGCGGATCCTGCGGAGAAGAGATCGTTAAGAGGCGCTTATAAATGAAGGAGATTTAAAGACCGAAAGATCAGACGATAGCCGGAGCCACGTTGCTTCTTTGGACACTTGGAAAACAAAGGCGGGATCGAATGGAATCTTTGAATAGATTACGTGATCAGAATTAATTATTCATTAATAGAATTGAGAAAGGCTCTAAATGATTCTATTTCAAAAACGAAGGAACGAGGTGATAATGAATAGAAGTGAAAAGTATTGAGTATAATATAAAAAAAAAATAGAAAAGGAGCTCAAGGATCGGCTTAAATCTTGCTTAAAAATTCGTTGGCAACGGGTCCCTACTGGATTACGCCCGGTGGCGAACTTCGGACAGGGGCGAAACAATTATGGCGCCTGTTGGGCCGGATTAGGGATACGTAACGCTCGCAAAAACGGGTCGGCGTGGCTGCAGTCACGTGGCAGTGATTATCTCTCGATGCTTTGCACACGTCTGCCGGTTTTTGTCCCTCGGGATGCATTGCACGTCCACCGGCATCCACCTTACGGCCAAATACCTCTGCGACTTTGTAATTAAGGGCCCCGAGTTTCCTATCATTCACCATCGTTGACGTTCTCGTTCGAATATCTCAACCTCATTTTCAGTCTTTTTCCTTTTCTCTTTATTCTTATTTTTTTTATCTGCATTTCTTCATACACCGTTAATAAGGATATCTTGGAAGTATTTATTTTTTGTTTAATCCTTTGGAAATATTGATGTGTTAATAGTATTTCATACCGTTCTCTAACAGATATCAAATACAGTTTCGAATTTGCATAAAGTTATTTGATTCGCGAAATGTTTGAAATTTCCTGAACAATTATTTCTATTGAACTATGATCATTCTCGATGAACTTTCGACTATACAATTCAATCCATGCGATTTAACGTTCCGAATTGTTCAATGTTTATCTCGATCTCGTGCAAATCGTAGGCTAATGAGGTTGCATCATCGTGAAAGCTGATTATATCGGTTCTGTATGATTGCGCGCGGTCACGCCTCGCCTATGGGTTATTAAATTTAAATGCTAATAATACCCGATTACTGCACAAATGTCGATAAATTTCAACAAATCCCGTGCGGATTATCTTTCTGGGCTTAATTTAATAAAAAACGATACAAGCATTTCGGAGGATT